TCAGATGACACCCTTTTTCCGAGAAAACTCGTCAAATTGACGCTCTCGCGACCAAACTTGGAAAATTACCTCGCTCCGGTCGATCATTCAGCGATTTTCTAGAGTCACCAGAGGCACCGACGTCTCCGAATCTACGCACGACGCGAAATATATTGCCGGCTCGTCGCGCCAGCGTCCCAATTAAAGAATCCTCGAGACGACGGGAACTCGACGAACGCCTAAATCGATTTACCCGTCGGTTTCCTCGATTGCGGACGTTAATACCGTCCCGGCCGTGACGTCGTAAGAACGTTTGGGAATTGGCGAGCAACAACGACACAAGAGAAAACACACACACACACACACACGCACACAGACATACGTAGGTGTAGAAGAGAGATTCTTGGGCGCGAAAGCGGCGAGACTGGCGTCTGGTGGCGCGTTGGCTGATTTAAAGTGCACGATACGGTGATTCCATACGAGCGAACGAGTCCCCGGCTGCAAACTTATTAGCCATTTCGGATTCGCCGCGGTTCCACGAGATCGGCCGGTGATCTCGAACGCTCGGACGGATTTATCGCGCGACCGTGGCGCCGCTCCTGCGGGAGCAAGAAGCGACGAAGATTTATTCCGGCCCCGGGTCGAGGAGACGAGGAAAAAAAAAAAAAAGAAGAATCCCAGTCTCGGGCGTGTTCCTCGAATCGAGACGGGCCAAAGAGTTCCCTTGTGAAACGTCGAACGGTTACCTGTTTAGAATAGGATATTCTGGAGTCTGTGATATCGACGAGGATTCGAGTTCGTTCGTTCGTATTTTTCTTTTCTTTCTTTTCTTTTTTTTTTTTTTTTTTTTTTTTTTTTTTTTTTTTTTTTTTTCTTCTGGACCTCGATGTTTTATTTTATCTCGGGGACATGAATTTTCGACCGATCCATTTTCTGCTCGTTAGCAGTAATCTCGTTTTACGGATTGAGGATTAAACGCGACTCGGACAGCAGCACAAAGGATGCTTGGACTTTGATTCTGGTTTGGTGTTATTGGATATCGAAGACCATGACAGTTTGGAGTTTTCAATTTCTCAGTTCTAAAAGTTTTAGGTTAATTGCATTTTATTGCCGACCTCTGTCACGGAGAATGTAAAACGCAAACGCTCAGATGAAGTAATTTTAAGCGTGTACAATTTTTACAATTTTAATGTATCGGTAACTTGAAAATTAACTATCTACGCGCTACGTGATTTATGAAATGCGAGTGTTGATACTTCCTTTCCACCTATTTTTTTTTTCTTTTTTTAATAAACCGTCTAATTAATTTATTAATTAATTCTATTAATTTTAAATTAAATTTAAGTTCAAACATGATTTTTCCATTATGCTTTAAAAATTATTTCTTTCGAACGTCGACCGCCAGAGTGTTCGCAAATTGATAAAAAAAGTAATTAAAAAATTACAAATTTATATTTTAGTTGAAAGTAATTTTTGGCCCACTCAGCAGAACAGTACGCTCGCGAAGAGTCGAATATTGGATGAACGTTTCTCGCAAGTTTTTAAGAACTTCGTAGAAATTAGACGAAACACTTAATTGCAACGCTGCTGCAAAAAAGACTCTGAAGACTTGAGAAAACGCGATGGAATCTGTAAAGATGGCAAGAATTTTAAACGATTCTCGAATCCTTGAACCGAGCGCGCGGACTTTTAGATCTTTGGTATTTCGAATTTTGTACTTTAAAACTTCATATTTATGCTCGTTCACTTTCTCGCGAAAATTCAGAAATTCTCCAACACGAATGTACGAATATTCGCGAATATTCGTTGGGCAAGAGAGAAATTTAATTTAAATTTCCACGTTTATTTTAATTCCAGTGTTTTAAAAGAGAGGTGCAAACCATCGTCGCTACAACCATTTCTCTTGTTCGAGGGGACGATCGAATGAAAAATTGCTCACGACAATTACAGTCTTGTCCCTAGAGTAATTAGCGTTAATTAGTCAGTCGCGAATAAATAAATTCTCGTTCGTTCGTTATGAACAGCCCGAGGCCTGTTGTGAACCGCGTGGCGAGCCTTAACATTGCTTATTCTACTCGATCAAGGACACTCTCGGGCCGAGTGGCGATTCGCCGAGCGGTGAATGGAAACCGCGAAACCTTGGCACACTCGAATGGTCAATTCAGCGCGAAATTAAAACGTCGTTGTTTCGACGGAGTTCAAATTCAATGGGAGAGCGAAAGGAGAAAGAGAAAGAAAAAGAAAAAGAAAGGGAAACAGCATGGAGGAATAATTGTGTCTCGAGTGGAAACGAAAAAAGTTCGCTCGTTTCTCTCACACTGCCGGCTTTCAATCAGAAATCGGCAAAAAATTCGATAGAAACCAAAAATTTGTTTGCAGAATCAATCGAATGGTATCCGGCGAAAACGCTTGGCGAACGCTGCGGGGGAAATTATATGGACGACCAATCGGTTTCCACATCCGTTTTCGAACTCGTTGCCGATAAAATTAAAATACAAAACGCGCGCGCGGAACTTTCGCCGCGTCCCGATTGATTACGCCCGATTAATTACCGATACGTGCCGCACCGGGTCCGGGAGTTTTTAGTTAAAAAATACCACGGCCGCGGCCGGACGAGAACGGAAAAGCGGATCGACGCGGAACACAGAGAGAATTATCTCTTCCATCCTATGCAATTAACGAGACCATTTCCCTTATCGAGCTGTCAAACGCGGCCGCTCTTCAACGCGCGGACAAAGAGCCTCGCGATAGAGCCACGTTGTTTCATTTCTGTATTTACGATTGCGACACGTTTGCTTAGAAACCGCTGGATTCCACCAACGTATCGTCGTGCGGATAATTCACGCCTAATCCGCGGATTATTTACCCGTCCGTAAGTAAAGTTTACAGGTAGAAGTTAAGGATCAAACTTGGGAACTTTGACATTGTTATTTCGTTGATAGTCTGGAATTTTTAGTTTCGCGTTAATTTGAAAATTTCCAAGTCCAAAGTCGTTCGAAGGTCATGTCACGAACATATCTGAATGTATTTTTTCACTTTTTTTTTTTTTTTTTTACATAGAAAATGTCAATGATCTTGAAAGAAACCTTAAAGAATCATAGTTTTAAGAAACTAGTTCTTCTTCGTTCAATTCTTCGCTTCATCCAGTTTAAGCTACGTCAGGAACAATTTTTGTACTATCGCTAGATAGAGAAGGTGGAATATATTCAGATGGCCTGGTTTTTGTGAACACTCTGTACATTGTGATGAAAGATCATGTCAGTTACGAGAGATCGTCTTCTCTTGTCGTTGATAAATTTTAGAATTTTATATTATTGAATTTTCTTTGAGCAGATTTGATCTTTTTCGTTGAATTAATCTGTCTCATCAACCTCAATGAGATTTGAATTAAAACGAACGTTAGTTAATATTTAATATTTAATATTTAATATTTTCTGTTAATATTTAATATTTTCTGTGACCCTTGCAAATAATTTTGACAAGTATTTTTTTTAATATTCAGAATCTCATAGACACCATTTTGAGCATCATATATAGATAAACTAAGGTCACTTATGTTTTATAAATTATTGCAGTTTTCATCCTCGAGATAAATTATCTTCTTCTAAAATATTTTCTTAATTATTATGTGTCTTTGATACTTTTTCACTTGAAGTTTAATATTTAAAAAAATAAAAGATAACCTTGAAAATTTCGAAATACCTCAATACCGAAAAAAGAGTGATACACCATATTTTGCATCCCTTAAAATCATGCAACTTTTCTATTAAACAATTTTTCAGTAGACGTGTAATTTAAAAGTTATTTCAGGTGTGCAAGTTACGTGAATCGCCCTGTATAAGCAATTAATTGTTTTCTGATAATCTGTGTCAAACACGTCACATTTTCACGAGAGTATCAAGCGTTCTGGAATGTGTTCGTAGGTGTGATAGAATTCGCGTGGATGGCAACAATTTCGTCAACAGCAGATTTTCATCATTCATTGGATATTCATAAAGAATAATGCGAAGAATGCGCGATATTTGAAATGCGTGTATGAGATCTGTAAACTTTGAGACGATTCACACGATATTCGATGCACTTCTTCGCAGTGCAATTCCTTGAAATCAAAAGTTCCATTTTGAAAGTAAAAAAAAAAAAAAAAAAAAAAAAAAGAAAGAAAGAAAACTGTAAACGTTTATAAATTTATTTATAAAACAGCTTTGACAGTTATAATTATTATAACGAAATGCTAACGAGTTGAACGTGCAATAAGTCACGAAGGAATTATAATTATATACGCTATCTCTCTCTATTTATAGAATAATATTAAATTTTCATATATTTAATATATAAATTTATATTATACAAATAATTTAAATTAATTTTATATAAAATTTTTAAATTATTTATATAATATAAATTTATATATTAAATATATGAAAATTTAACATTATTCTATAAATAGAAAGAAATAGCGTATTATAATAAATATTATTAAAATAATAATTTAATATTATATTATATATATTATTATAAATATAAATATTATTATTTATTGCAAAAGATAATATCATTAAAAAACTGTGGATGCTTACAGAAAATTAAAATTAAATTGCATGGAATATACGCACAATACGCGATAAAAATGTACGGGATATGGACACGTTAAGATGAAATATGGTAAAATATGAGGAGTAATATTGAACTATAGCATGTAAAATGTCCGATTTCATTGTTTCAATTTGACAAGCATTTTATTTCAACAAATATTTTTTTTCATCCCCCTGCACATCATTTTACATGCCGTTTCAAAGCCAACAATTTATACGCGATTTTAATTGTGTTCGCGAAAACATGAATTTACATGAACATCAGCAATCTATCCATTACAATTCGCTGTGAAACACACCGGTATATCGACAAAGTGCGACCCATTAAAGACAAAGACAATTCCTTTGACGCGCAAATGAACAATTCAGCCCGTTAACACGTTCGACGTGTCACACTTTTTTTTTTTTTTTTTTTTTTTAATTAATTGCTCACGTGCTATGCATCACGATATCCGGAACCCAGATCTGATAGCTTTTCACTCGAAGAGAGGTGATAGAGTCAAACTGCGACTTGTCCCAAGTGAAATGAGGCTCCGTCCAAACCTGTTATTTGTCAGAAGAAAATACGAAAAATTTCAATCCTTTCCGAATCACTCGATAAGAATCGAGGATACGCCAAAGTGATTTTACTCACCATTTGTACCCAAACGCTGAATTCAACGGTGTTCGTCAACTCATCCTGACAAAGGTGAAAGGAATAAAGTGCAAAGGAATCAAAGATTTAAGAATTACGTTTCTATTAATCTATCGATCTTGCCTTTAAATATATTATATTTTGATATTTTATTCAATTATTTATAGAGACGTTCAATCAATTCATAATAAAGGTACGAGTCTAAATCATTTACGCAACGATAATATATTTTACTATTTCACTTACTACGAACATTCGTTATTTAAGTATCACTGGCTATCACATCTATCACTTTGAATGATTCTTCTTTATCCGATTTAATAACTAAAAAATTATACAATCTAAAGATACTCTTATGATATTCGACAATTGCAACTATCGATCTTGTCGTAATATATAATTTTTGAAAATCGGTCCCCTGAACCACCGAGAAACAGAAAGCCTCGCTTCACAAACGTTACTTACAACTTGGAACTGGTGTAGATTTAACCCGAAATTAACAACGATGGCGTTGTTTTTCGCGAGCACGCGATCCTTAGGATTATAGTCGCAGAACAAATACTCCTTCAGCCGCGAAAGCGCGGAATTATCCACGATGTCTTTGCAGCGTAGCTTTATGCATGCCGCCTGTTTGTTTAGCAGGATATTGACGATCACGAGCAAAGCAGGAAATAAATTCTTCATGTTTGAACGATGAGAGCACGGAACAAAGTGACTGTACATGGATAGATCGAGAAGAGCAGCACACCCAATGAAACACTAAACCGAGACCGTGGAAAACCGCCCCCTTTTCCACGTTATCATCTCCACTTTTATCAATTTCGACTATGACTGCGACTATCGGGTACAAATGAAAATAGACGACTTTCTATTTATTCCGAGTTGAAGAAGTTGCTTCGGAGCGATAGTTGAGATTGCCTTCGTGTTCAATAATTGTTGACAGAAGGTAATGTCGCGATGTTTTTCCAACAGTTTCGTTTAAGAAGAGAAGAAATTTTGGTTTGGAATTATATTCTCTGCAGCCAGAGACGATATTCAACTAAATTTTATATTTAGCACATTATCCTAACTGCGTAGAATGGAACAGTATATAAATAATCAGTTTCGTTTTGCAATTGTATAGTGACATATTCATCGACTTTACTTTTACATGTCAAATCTGTCCACTATCAAAATGTCTATTAATAAAACCTATCGAACCAATCAAAGTACTGAAAAACATTCGCATAATTTATTTGAGACGCTGTATAAAATCGTCGATCGTTTGTCTACAATTTAACACACTCAAGCAGAAAGGAACAATCTGAATCTTTTGTCAATATAATAAGAAAGAAGAGGTATGGTCATAAATGATCGTTTATTGTATAAATGAGAATCTACAGTTGATATCTGAATGAAAGATAAGACGGGGTACGACTTTTCACGTGGATGGTACAAGAGTGATTAAAATGATGACGTAGGTGAAAATAACGACGAAGAAGGAGAGCCATTCGATGATGGCCGCAAAATGTCTCCACGACGATTCCCTCGGCTCGGTCGCTGACTTTGGCAAGTCCGAATTATCCTCGCCCTCTCCGCCCAATATTCCCCTGCTGGACGATTTGGAATCGTCGTCGGTCAGAATGAGAAAACGTCCAGCCCTGTTACTTAAGATGAACGACGTGGTCGTCGAGATCCAATATGGCACTTCGATACTCATCTCTTGCATCTTGCGTAGGACAGCGGTGAGAACCAAGGCGAACACGGCTATAGCCAGCGAATCTCGGTAGTAGAGTACTGGAAGAACAAGTATCTCGACTGTAAAGAGCATGTTTTTTTATTGTACATACAACGCGTTTGCAGTGCACTCGCGATAGTGATGAAAAATGAAGTGTAGTATTTGCACATCGAATAAAATATTCTACTTGACATTCGTATCGGTTATGTTCGTGAATAATAGAACTGGAAAATTTTGCTTGGTAATGTTACTAATCGTTCGAAGTTTAATAATTTAACATTTAATTATAAAAGTATTTTTATATTAATATTATAATATCTCTCTCTCTCTCTCTCTCTCTAGTTATAGTTTAATATTAAATTTTCATATATTTAATATATAAATTTATATTATACAAATAATTTAAATTTCATTTTATTAATTTTTATATAAAATTATTTTATCTTAATAAAGCTTAATTAACTCATAATTTAAGTTTAACCGCTGCTGCTGGCACTTTAATTTATATTATTAATTTTAATTTCCCTTATTTAATTTTCATTAATTAATAATGAAGAATTTTTTATTAATTTTATTTTACTAATAAATTTAATATTTTTAATAATTTTTGTATATTTAAATATAAATTTGTTTTATGTAGATTATATGAAATTTTATTTAATTATTTTTAAAATAATAAATAATATAATGTAATAATAAAATATAATTATGGTTGAATTGTTAGTTAAATTAATATTTTATATATAATTTATTAAAATTAAATATTAAATTGTACGACCACTAACTATTGAAAATGATACGTCACTGTTGCGTCACTGTGGCGTTATGGTATAATAGTTGGATAAATTTATACTTGTATAGAATAATATAGACATAAAGTAGAATTAGATTTTATTACTAGATATATTCAAATTTGGAAAGTTCATAGCGTTTTCGACGAGATGAACAAAAATATTTATGCTCTTCCAACTGCTGACTTCGAACGACTGATATTGTTTAACAAAATAAATCACCAGATTTCTATCAATGACGGTGCATTTCAGTAGGAATTAATTAATTAATTAGTTTTAAAACTTTTAACTTAAAAACAAATACGAACAATTGAAGGATCGTGATAAGAATACCTCTCGCGACACACTATTCTGTTCTGTTCTATTTTTACTCTACATCATAAGGCACGTGTATAATTTCAATTTTCATAATAATGTGTTTGTACCAAATCATGCTTCTACGATACTACGTTCATATGTGATTACGTTTCTACAGTACTGCATAGAGTTACGTTGGTACTATTTATATCTTCGCATGGAAATTATAGTTCCATGATACAACGTTTAATTACGCACGTATTATTGTTCATTAACATAACTCATTAATACTTCGAACGAAACTCGTTAATCTATCTTATTCTCTCATCTTATTTTACAAGGAAAGTTTAGCAATTTAGTAGTAGAAACAATTTCTTTCTCCTGATGAAAAATGATCTTAGAAATAATAATAATAGGACTTTTCCTAAAAGAAATTTCGAATTTTGAAACGATTTGGACAACTGGACGAATATGCTTCGTTCTAATTTGTAATACCAAAAATCATTCGTCTGTAACATTTGAAGATTCTCTGAAATGAAGAAAATGTACTGTCAATCGCTCTTCACTCTCGTCATCTTTATTAATTGTCAGATTAAACTCTGGGACATGTTTGAAACGATTTTAGAAAACTAGAAATTAGAGAAAAGCAATAATAAACAGAAAATTGTAATATTTCATTCTAATCAGAAAAAACAAAGATAGTAAGTAAAAGTCTTTCTTCAGAGAGGTGCCCCTTTCAGTAGAAAGAAAAGATTGTTCCATTATTAGAATCACGTGAATTATGTACTTATATACTATATAAATTTATAGTATTTATGATATAGTATTATAGATTGTTCCATTATTAGAATCACGTGAACTATGTACTTATATACTATATAAATTTATAGTATTTATGCACATTTTTATATATATACTATTATAGTATTTATAATTATATAATTGTAATTAAATTATACAATTTATAGTATTTATATAAATTTTTGTTTTGAATTTTCTGATTATAAGTACTATATTATACTATTTTATACTTACATAATATATAAATTTATAGTATTTATACACATTTTTATATATATACAATTATAGTATTTATAATTATATAATTGTAAATAAATTATGCAATTTATAATATTTATATACATACGTATTTGTATAAATTTTTTCTTTTTTTAATTTTCTACTTGCCAAATTTTCCTTGTCAAGCTTGTTTATAATACTTGGTGTATTTAAAATATACTTACGTATATTAGGAGGATTGATACCATTGTGAGGTAATTGCCAGTGTAAATCGAATATGCATATCATATGGCAGATCAAGTTCACACCGGCGATGGCCATTCTCTCAGTCGATCTCGAGTCCAACCAAAGTACAATTAGCGTGAGCAACATCATTGCTATTGCAGGTGTTATGTACGTAGTGTGCATTATACCATAATGTCGACTTATAGTGAACTCGTACACGATCATCGGGTAAGTATCGTTCGGGCAGCATTTGTACTTCTTTAGCACTTTGTACACGTTCACCACTTTGAAATCCCATTCGGTGTTGTTCGTGAATCCGTCCATTTGGAACTATCCAATCACGCAAAATTACATATTACACGTTATAATTAGGATTAGCGTAAATTCATATTTTTGTAAATGCATAATTGTATGATTATAAATATATAAGTGATATATAATTATACGTGATATATAATTATACAAATACAAGTACAATATAATATGATTATGCGTTTAAATAAGTATAGATATAATTATATGATTATAAAAATGAAACGCAAGTAAAGAATTGTTGTAGCTATTAGGTATACTAATAAATACTGTGTTGTATATTTTTACATGCATTTCATGTATCTTCAAATTTTTTATAAATATTACAACACATCAAATAGCTATTAAATATACTAATGATATAATTATAATCATACTATAAATATACTAATGATATAATTATAATCATACTATAAATATACTAATGATATAATTATAATTATACTATAAATATTATACTATAAATATATACTAATGATATAATTATAATTATAATTATAAATATACTAAAAATAGTAGCTAATAAATACTGCGTTGTATATTTTTATATGCATTTCATGTATCTTCAAATTTTTCATAAATATTACAACACATCAAATATCCTTCACATTCAAAATCTTCTCTGTGAAAATTCTGAAATATTTATTAAAGTCTCCACTATGTTGTACGATCAGCTTTCAAGTGGAATAACTAAGAGATTAAGAACTCACAAATTAATATCAATTATAAAGATGTTGTATCCTCGATCTATCAATTTGCTGAGATTGTTGATGAATATTTATGAAAATTAAGATTCACTTCGGCTCACTGCCAATTACCCCTTTCTTGTCCAGATGAAAATTCACTTCCTCCCCGGAATGTGACCACGAACCAAAAATAATCCGACACCGATGCGTGTCATAGGGCCACGAAGAAAAGTCTGTGGAGCATTTAGCAACGTGTTTCACCGATGGCACGCAGCTAACCGATCCTGTGCTGAAGATCAAACACGTTGTCGGCGGTATGCCGGTCTGATCGAACGTCATATCGCCGCTATTTAAAAAGAAAAAAAAAAAAAAAAATGACAATTATGTCAGCAATTTGTAGACGACACTTAGCTTTTCATTCATTCAATATAACACTTGTCTCTTGTTATTGTCAACGAGAGAAAAGAAAAGGGGTCAAGCTGAAACAAAATTAATATTCTAGCACGTCTGATGTGAAACAAAAATTAAAACTCTGAAATTAACACCTGACAAAAATTGATTGAAAAAAGGATCTGTTTCTTGGAAGGAGTAATAACTAGACCTCAAGTTTTTATGTGTTTATAGTTCCTTAAGATCAGATTCAAACATAAAATCGTGGAAAATACTGATAAAATTTTTTCTCCACACACCATTTGTTTCCAACAAAATATTTTTAGATGCTACATTGTTGATTTTCAATAAGCTCATCAATTCGATTTCTATAATCACGTTCATGAAAGTATGAACGTGCAGCCGAATAATAACAATCGTGTGGTCGTCTGCTTACGAATTATAAACGGAGAGATCAGGAACCCAAATCTCGTCGCTTCTTATATGAATGAAATTGACTCCGTCGTAGTCGCTGGGTTTCCAAGTTAAATGGGCGTCGTTCCATACCTACAAAATCGGGAGATGCTCGAATTTCTCGGTGAAGAGACACGATCAAACAAAGAGATAAAGCAGAGAATCATGTTCACTCACGAGTGTCATCCAACTGTGCAACGTCATTCTGCCGTTCCAATCATCCTAGAGGCAGATTCCAACAAATAAAGGCAGAGAAATGAAATCGTGATCTTTAGATTGGTGCCTCCCGCGAATTTTAGGACAATTGCTCGTATTAGCAATATTGATATGAAAATGAATTATTAAAATTAACTTCTTCTTTTTATAGTTTACAGGTTTCTTTCATATAAATCGTTTCGATTTCAGCACGAGAATGAAGACGCTAATATCGTCCGAATACGTTCACTAAATTCTGTTTATTACTTCGACTAAGTTTAAATTGAAATTATTTTAATTAAATTAATTACTTTAACTAAGTTCTGTTATTCGAAAGCCTCAATTGTGAAATATACATATTGAAGGAAGAAAGTACGAGTGTAAGAATGCGGTGCGACTTAAATGACACGAAAATCGATTATTGTCTCGTTAGTCGAAAGTAATCTGAACGAAAGCTTACGAATTCCAATAATTTCGGCAGCAATTGCATGGTGACGTTGTTGGCGATTTGATGAGAGAGAGTCGGTCGAACGGTGTGATCGTACTCGCAGAAAAGGAACCTCTTCAACCTCAGCATCGGCGACGTGGTGTAAGTTTTGCAGTTGAACGCAAGATCGACTTCCTCCATGAAAGTAGTTGCTGAGAGAGCATTATGAATTTGCAGCGTACTTTCTAAGTGGGGATTAGCGGAGAAAAAAAAAAAAAAGAAATTCAACCAATGACACACTGCAAGGCTTAATTATCGAGGAAATTTATTTCAAATATAAAACAGAATCGAGCTTCGGTAAGCTTGAAACAACATTTCTATCTTCGAATAAGACGCGAATTTTCTATGCATTTGTGAGAAAAGAAGGATTTAAAAAACAGAGAAAGCAAAAATGTGTAAAATACTCGAAAAGTAATTGTTACAATACGGGAAAGATTTTTCTTTCTCTTCTTCTTTAATCGTGAATTACAAAAGTATGAAATAAAATAACTCTGTTTATTAATCACTCTCGATTGTGTATGTGAATGAAATGACACACGATGACACTTTACCCGAATCATGGCCAAAAAGAAGGAAACATCCGAGCACCGTTAGTATCCTCATTTTGATTGAAATGAGCCAACAGCCACTAGTCGACTGAACAACTTCTCGTTCGCGGCGAAACGATTATCAGACGCCCCGTGAAATTCGAAACGACAGATGGACGAGACGCCCCCAGGGTGGTTCAATGCTTTTTAAATATTTTTCCGATAGAGCAATAATAACTAAACGATTCATCGTGCATAAACAGTCTGAACAACAGATTGACTAGCAGAATTTTTGACGGGTTTGTTCAACCGTGGTTACCGCAAACCTATTTACGGTTTTCACTGCGAAATTATCTGAAGAAAGACCAAAAAAAGAAAGAAAAAAAAAATTTTCTTAAATATTCTCGCGATACACTTTCTAGGCCGAAATTTCGGAATAAAATTCACCTTTCCTTCTTGTCTCTTACTAAAGTGAATCTTCGAAAATCGTGTCGCACTTTAGATAATCATTAATTACGATTAATAAACGATATAACAATACAAAGATAGTATTCCTTCATTTTTGAAAATAAGTCGACATATTATATCAAGTTTTTCGATAATGTCAATTATCAATTATATTAAAGAGAAAGAAATCTGCTCTAAATCATAAATATTCAGTATCAAGAATTACATTATGAACCAGCATTCAATATTTCTCACATGAAATCAAAATGAAAAGTGATTACTTCGAATGAGACGAGAAAGAAGTTCATTTTAAAATAAGAGTAAATGCAAATAAATTGCATTAATACCTTTGACATACAAAACGATTATTTCAAATAATAATACAACATAAAATTTCATTCGAGTAAAAACATTCATTTTACTTTTGTTACTTGTTCCGTTGCTTTATCATCAATGATTTTATTTAAATAATAATACATCTGAAAAATAAATTCCTCCAACATTATGTAATAAAGTTCCAACTCCATATACCTGAATAAAAAATATTTATTTTTTATTCTGCAAGGATTAATTGTTCCAATCGCGAAATCTAGCGAAACAACAAGCTCCCTCGATCTATTCGAACGAGCTCATTGCTTCAGTACCTTTTCGATGTAGTATCATTGTCTAACTAGCATAGACTTAATATCCAATGCATTTTAACGTCTACGTTACAGTCGAGGTATACGAAAAGACCTAGCATATAATATATTTTCTCAGCCAACGAAAAGTCTCATGACCATTTCCCAGTCACATTCTATAATATACAATTCAATTTACGAAGGCTTTGCACAATAGCGCCACAAGCATCGACAAGATATATAAATAGACCGTGCAACTTACGGGGTTTCGTGACAGGGACTCTGAAATACCGACATAGTACAAGAATCACAGGTTCTTTAGCGCACTCTACATATAAAGACGGTGAACTGGAAAATTGCATCAGGTAAAACGATCAAGATAGGACAAGTAGTCTGTGATGTCTCATACGCCAAGCACCCGCGCATTGAAACCAGTGTTTTTTCACAATCCAAAATCCGCGGGTATCGGGGTGTGATTTTCCATACCAAAGTCATCAAAAATAAATGGAATAAATTTTCAATTGCAAAGGAATCTAAATGAAATATTCATCATATCATTGCCTTACTTAGATTCACAGCTTTTCTAGTAACCCAATTGAACGGAACAATACACGAATCAATATTTTCAGAAATAGTCAGCATTAACATAGACAAAGAATACCCTGTGGATAAGAAGAAATTTCTGGCGGTAAATTCGAATTTTGTATCAGGAGAACATGAGACTCGAGAAGGTGGCACATCATGGCACGCCATTGAGCTGATCTCCTGATAAAGAGATTTCACGAAGAGTTTTCAAGATAGAAAATGTGAACGAGATGGAATATTTGGGTAAGTATTCGAAATTTGTATCAGGAGAACATGATACTCGAGGAAGTGGCACGAAATTGGCCGCCGACGAGCGCTACTCCTGATACAAATGACTATTCGAAAAATATTCTAGATAGAACATCTAGCGAACGAGGTGGAAATCCTGGGTAAGTATTCGAAATTTGTATCAGGAGAACATGATACTCGAGGAAGTGGCACGAAATTAGCCGCCGACGAGCGCTACTCCTGACACAAGTGGCAATCCGAAAAATATTCCAGCTAGAACAATTCGAGAACGAGGGGTAAATCCCGGGTGAGTATTCAAAATCTGTATCAGGAGAACATGATACTCGAGGAAGTGGCACGAAATTAGCCGCCGACGAGCGCTACTCCTGACACAAGTGGCAATCCGAAAAATATTCCAGCTAGAACAATTCGAGAACGAGGGGTAAATCCCGGGTGAGTATTCAAAATCTGTATCAGGAGAACATGATACTCGAGGAAGTGGCACGAAATTAGCCGCCGACGAGCGCTACTCCTGACACAAGTGGCAATCCGAAAAATATTCCAGCTAGAACAATTCGAGAACGAGGGGGATATCCTGGGTGAGTATTCGAAATTTGTATCAGGAGAACATGATACTCGAGGAAGTGGCACGAAATTGGCCACCGACGAGCTCTACTCCTGATACAAATGGCAATCCGAAAAATATTCTAGCNTAGAACATCTCGAGAACGAGGTGGAAATCCTGGGTAAGTATTCGAAATTTGTATCAGGAGAACATGATACTCGAGGAAGTGGCACGAAATTGGCCGCCGACGAGCGTTACTCCTAATACAAATGGCTATTCGAAAAATACATTAGCTAGAACATCTCGAGAACATGGTTGATATTCTGAGTGAGTATTCCAAATTTGTATCAGGAGAACATGATACTCGAGGAAGTGACACGAAATTGGCCACCGACGAGCGCAACTCCTGATACAAATGGCAATTCGAAAAATACTCTAGTTGGAACAACTCGAGAACGAGATGAATATTCTGGGTGAGTACTCGAAATTTGTATCAGGAGAACATGATACTCGAGGAGGTGGTGCGAAATCGTCCGCCGACAGGCAGCTCTCCTGATACAGAAGTTTTTCGAAAAATTTTGAAACTGGAATATCTCGCGAAAGGGAAGGGACGAATGGCTGAAATATCGTTCTTTGTATCAGGAGAGCATTACAATCGAGGAGGTAGCACTGCGTCTCCCGCCGACAAGCGATTCTCCTGATACGGAGGTTTTTTCGAAAAACTATTGATGCTGGAATATCTCGTGAAGGAGAAGGAGCAGCTCGCTGAAAATTAGTTCCTAGTATCAGGAGGACATGGCAATCGAGAAGGTGGCACGAAATCGCCGGCCGACAAGCAGATCTCCTGATACAAAAATTACTGAAAAAATTTTAAATCTGTAATATCTCGTGAAAGAGGAAGTACAGATTGCTGAAACTCAGTTCTTTGTATCAGGAGAACATGGCAATCGAGGAGGTGGCACGAAATTGCCCGCCGAGAAGCGGTTCTCCTGATACGGAGGTGTTTCGAAAAATTATTGAAGCTGTAATATCTCGTGAAAGACAAGGAGCAGCTCGCTGAAAATCAGTTCTTTGTATCAGCAGAGCATTACAATCGAGGATTTAGCACTACATCTCCCGCCGCCAAGCGATTCTCCTGATACGGAGATTTTTGGAAGAATTATTGGTGCTGGAATATCTCGTGAAAGAGAAGGAGCAGCTCGCTGAAAATTAGTTCTTTGTATCAGGAGGACATGGCAATCGAGAAGGTGGCACAAAATAGCCCGCCGACAAGCGGTTCTCCAGAAAACGAAGTTTTTTGAAAAATTTTGAACTGGAATATCTCGTGAAAAAGAAAGAGCAGATGGCTGAAAATTCGTTCATTGTATCAGGAGAACATGGTAATCGAGGAGGTTGCACAAAATCGCCCGCCGACAAGCGGTTCTCTTGATACGGAGGTTTTTCCAAAAATTATTAATGCTGGAATATCTCGTGAAAGAGAAGGAGCAGCTCGCTGAAAATTAGTTCTTTGTATCAGGAGAAACATGGCAATCGAGGAGGTGGCACGAAATCGACCGCCGAAAAGCGGTTCTCCTGATGCAGAACTTTTTTGAAAATTCTTGAAACTGGAATATCTCGCGAAAGGGAAGGAACAGATGACTGAAAATTCGTTCTTTGTATCAGGAGAGCATGCCAATCGAGGAGGTAGCACGACATCTCCCGCCGACAAGCGATTCTCCTGATACGGAGGTTTTTCGAAAAATTATTAAACCTGGAATATCTCGTGAAAGACAAGGAGCAGCTCGCGGAAAATCAGTTCTTTGTATCAGGAGAACATGGCAATCGAGGCACGAAATCGCCCGCCGACAAGCGGTTCTCCTGAATCAAAAATTATTGAAAAAATTTTAAATCTGGAATATCTCGTGAAAGAGTAGGAACAGATGACTGAAAATTCGTTCTTTGTATCAGGAGAGCATGACAATCGGGGAGGTAGCACTACGACTCCCGCAGACAAGAGATTTTCCTGATACGGAGGTTTCTTGAAAAATTATTAATGCTGGAATATCTCGTGAAAGGGAAGGAACAGATGGCTGAAAATTCGTTCTTTGTATCAGGAGAGAATGACAATTGAGGAGGTGGCACGACATCGCCTGCCGACTAGCAGTTCTCCTGATACAGACGTTTTTTGAAAAATTTTGAACCTGGAATATCTCGTGAAAGAGAAGTAGTAGTTAGCTGAAAATTCATATTTTGTATCAGGAGAGCATAGCAATCGAGAAGGTTGCACGACGTCGTCCTCCAATAAACGGTTCTCCTGATACGGAGGTTTTTCGAAAAATTATTGAAGCTGGAATATCTCGTGAAAGAGAATGAGCAGTTCGCTGAAAATTAGTTCTTTGTATCAGGAGAGCATGGCAATCGAGGAGGTAGCACGAGATCTTCCGCCGACAGGCGATTCTCCTTTTACGGAGGTTTTTTCAAAAAATTATTGACGCTGGAATATCTCGTGAAAGAGATGGAGCAGCTAGCTGAAAATTAGTTCTTTGTATTAGAAGAACACCGCAATCGAGGAGGTGGCACGAAATCGCCCGGCGACAAGCGGTTCTTCTGATACGGAGGTTTTTCGAAAAATTATTGAAGCTGGAATATCTCGTGAAAGAGAAGGAACAGATGGCTGAAAATTCGTTCTTTGTATCAGGAGAGCATGATAATCGAGGTGGTAGCACGAAATCGCCCGGCGACAAGTGGTTCTCCTGATACAGAAGTTTTTTGAAAAATTTTGAAACTGGAATATCTCGTGAAGGAGAAGGAACAGATGGCTGAAAATTCGTTCTTTGTATCAGGAGAGAATGACAATTGAGGAGGTGGCACGACATCGCCCGCCGACTAGCAGTTCTCCTGATACAGACGTTTTTTGAAAAATTTTGAACCTGGAATATCTCGTGAAAGAGAAGTAGTAGTTAGCTGAAAATTCATATTTTGTATCAGGAGAGCATAGCAATCGAGAAGGTTGCACGACGTCGTCCTCCAATAAACGGTTCTCCTGATACGGAGGTTTTTCGAAAAATTATTGAAGCTGGAATATCTCGTGAAAGAGAATGAGCAGTTCGCTGAAAATTAGTTCTTTGTATCAGGAGAGCATGGCAATCGAGGAGGTAGCACGAGATCTTCCGCCGACAGGCGATTCTCCTTTTACGGAGGTTTTTTCAAAAAATTATTGACGCTGGAATATCTCGTGAAAGAGATGGAGCAGCTAGCTGAAAATTAGTTCTTTGTATTAGAAGAACACCGCAATCGAGGAGGTGGCACGAAATCGCCCGGCGACAAGCGGTTCTTCTGATACGGAGGTTTTTCGAAAAATTATTGAAGCTGGAATATCTCGTGAAAGAGAAGGAACAGATGGCTGAAAATTCGTTCTTTGTATCAGGAGAGCATGATAATCGAGGTGGTAGCACGAAATCGCCCGGCGACAAGTGGTTCTCCTGATACAGAAGTTTTTTGAAAAATTTTGAAACTGGAATATCTCGTGAAGGAGAAGGAACAGATGGCTGAAAATTCGTTCTTTGTATCAGGAGAGAATGACAATTGAGGAGGTGGCACGACATCGCCCGCCGACTAGCAGTTCTCCTGATACAGACGTTTTTTGAAAAATTTTGAACCTGGAATATCTCGTGAAAGAGAAGGAGTAGTTAGCTGAAAATTCATATTTTGTATCAGGAGAGCATAACAATCGAGAAGGTTGCACGACGTCGCCCGCCAATAAACGGTTCTCCTAATACACTGGTTTTTCGAAAAATTTTGAACCTGGATTATCTCGTGAACGAGAAGGATCAAATGACTGAAAATATGTATTTTGTATCAGGAGAACATGACACTCGATGTGGTGGCACGTCATAGCCAGCCGGTCAGTGGTTCTCCTGACACAGAGATTTTTTCAGAATTTTAAAGCTGGCATATCTCGTTAACGAGATGAAATTTCTCGTAGAAAAGTCGGATTTTATATCAGGAGGACATGATATGCTGGGGTGTTGCACATAATATCATATAATATGCAGGTAGAACAATCTTTCTTTTAAATCATTATATTCATTATTGACAAAGTGCTATCACGTTCAGTAAATAGTTTTCGAAATAGATCTGGTAACACTGTCCATATTTTGTAATTTCGATTTTCATCACGTGTAGTTCTGCATTGTAAACCTTGCTTGTATCGGTACAACAGGATGTGTCATGAAAATGGTAAGTGGCCCTGAGATCCACCCATTCGTTGGGCGAAAATGATACATTGTATGCGTGATCTATACATATACCTCGTCTGTGGTTAAGCATGCGTACTACGTTCGTTCTTTACGCTGCAATCAAGTTACGATAAGCGTCAGTCTGCCGCGCGCCTTCGCGTGGTAATGAATCGTTCGTAAGTTGTGTAATCATTTTCTTTCACTGGACATTAAAGTACTTGATATAATGAGCAATATGAAATACATTGGGGCCCTTGACGTGGGAACTACTACCGTGCGTTTTCACATAATCGACCAACAAGGGTATACCGTTGCCTATTCCGCTGAAAAGGTTCGATATTTACGAATTTATCATTTGCAGTTTTTTAATTCTTAGGAGATCTTTAAAACTCAATAAAATAGTGAATACAAATATGAATGTTTACAGAACGTTTAGAAATTTAAGCCTGCTAGTATTTTGTTTTTATATTTTTTTATTTTTTTAAGAATTTTATAGTTTTTAATGAGCAAATAAAATTCTATAATGTTTTGTGGTATTTTTCCTACGAGAATTCATTAGCAGATCTAACCTTGCTACCTTCTTTGTGTTTTTTTCGTACTTGTTTTAAAAAATTCGTAGCTCGAAAAGAGCAGAAAATCAGTTTTTGAACTTAGAAGTTTACAGTTCACAATGTTTGCAGCATTGTGCGAACGAAACTTGAAGGTTTAGAATATTTTTATTTTAGGCGAACTCTTTTGGAGTACTTAGAGTGTAACTTAATATTCTCCAAAGAACGTATGTCTTCAAATTATTATGAATATACTTATTTACTTCTAACTCCTTAATATGCATGGTATTGATACTCTTTGCAGAAACAAAAAATTCTTAAAGAAATAAAAACAAGAGAGATACTCCAAGTATATAGCAAGTATTATAAACTAAGTATTATAGACAGTTACTGAGAAAGTGGGGACGGACAGGCATAATTTTAAGAATCCGTTTAAATATTTTATATTGCCAGAATTAGTATAGATCAAATTTTTGAAAGTTTAAATATTATAAATTATAATTTTTTAATTTCTAAAGTTTAAATTATTATATAATTTTCCTAGAGGAACTCTTTTGAACATTTATGCCAAGTATAACAAATAATTAATTATTTATAAAATTGGGGAAGAACGAAGAGAATTGTAAGAATTAGTTTGGAAGATTTTAGATAGGATTTTCTTTAACGTTTTCAAGGTCCGTGCGACCTTACTGAAGTGCTTGAATGAATCATTTCTCTTTCTCTTTTGATTAAAATCTGCATCTTCTAATAAATTAGAAATTACAATTAGAATCGGAAATTAATATTGCAGAAAATTTCCTATAAGTTTGCGTCTACGAATGTAAAGAATGATATCTGCATGCTGTTGAAATAACAGCAGTCTACATTTAATATTCGCTTTCGTATAAAACTATGAACGAATCGATAACAGTAAAGTTGTGGGAAAGTACTTAAGAAACTCGTAAGAATTTACAATTTAATCGATACGACGTATTGATACTGCATGACTTTCTTTTTTATATTGTGATATTTTTGCGATTTGAATTATAGTCACCGCCGGAATGCTAGAAAATGTAGTGCCAAACAAATTGCTTGGCTTTTTCAAACTGATATCACTCTAGATATTTTTATCAAAAAGGAAATACAGATTAAGATTGAATTACGCAAGATAGGATACTGATTGAATTAAATATTTTCAGAATACGCAATACTATTTACAGTTAATGGCAATAATATCTCAATCGTACATACAGTAATATTACATAATTATATAAAACATTATAGTTCAACAACCAATAAATCTATTCATATTCAATTTATATTCACTTCTATGAATAATTCGATCACGAGTTTGTCATAAATTATTATCGAATTTTGTAAAAGAAAATGTTCGATTGAAATGAATCTATCAAACACGATTCTACGATCGTTAAATGTTATCGTTAATGTGCTTCTCGGAATATATAAATGATGAAAATCAATTATTAGACTGCGATTAGATTTTGTGCTAATGGATACAATTTAAATTTGTTTTGCCGGTATAGTATATTACAAAAAGCATCGCAATTTGAATATTTGACACATTTTTACATTTTATGTGCATTTTGTTGGTTTTTTATATTTTTACGTAACGTAACATAAGCGTAACAATCAATATTAATTATCGAAGAGCTGCATGTATAATTATAAAACTACAGAAGTAATTATCTATCTATACTTGCAGAATGTAGACGATAATTGTAGGTTGTAACATCTATTATTTATGTAAAAATAAGGAACGTATTTATATGGAACGTACGTAATTGTAAAATTAAAAATAATTGTGAGATTTTGATATTTCGTTTGTTTATAAATGACAGAGAAACTTATGAACTGTAAACTATTAATTTAACAGTCTCTCATCTAGTCCCAACATATCAGTTTACTGACAAAATACGACACTATATACAAGTAATAAACAATATATAAAATAAATATAATAATATATAATAATATATAATAAATATAATATAATAATAAATAATAATAAAAAATAAATATAATAATAAATAATATATAAATATATATTAAAATAAATATATAAATATATAATAAATAACATATGTAAATAATAAAATGAAATGCAAGAAAAAAAGGATTCAAAATTCCGAGAACTAAAAGAATTAAAAATTACGATCTTTAGAGATAAAAGTTTTATCAATTCCTTTTAAGTTGATCTACATTTTAACTAGTCACGCAACGAGGACAACTGCAGAGGCTATACAATCAATAATAAATTTATCGTCGATCCTCTTAACTCGATCTTACACGTGTCTACGTAGCAACATACGATCGTGGAAAAAATGTTTTCCTAAATCACCTTCCCGATCTATCAAAGCAGCATTCACTTTCGCGGTGACATTGTCGTTTCAACGTTCAAAAGTCCAAACTGGTTTCGATGGTATTACCTTCTGCCTATGTTCGTTCTGTTGTCATATGTAGGTCGAGGCAAAACGTTATCAATAACAACTAAACGGCCTAACGATTTAAACGGTCTTTCATCGACGTTTATTCATCCCTGACTAGATATCAGGACGCGCAAAAGTTTCAATTCCACATTAATTTTATTTCAAAATTTAAATATTTTGTTTATTAAAATTTCTAACTTTATTTCATTGTTCAATTGTACATTTAATTTAATTCTATTTACAGCAATTATCTCTATCAGAGAGAATATAAAATACAAAAAAGATCAAATTAAATTAAATCTTAAGCATTTGTAATGTAACACAAATTTCGTCGAAACTAATATGGAGACAAAAGTTAATGGAATAAAATTTTTTGATAATAGAACAACCACGTTTCTGATATTAAATTGCTCATATCGAAGAAAATTGACAGCTCACTTTTATACTTTGAACCATTTTTTTTTTTTTAACGATAAACGTTTCAGGATAAAAAAATACATTCCCGTTATTTTCATTCGCTGAATTATGTATGTTCACGATCTTTATCACTCATAAACGAAAGGTTAATTTTTCACGGAATGACGTGACAAATATAATCTCTTACGCAATTATTCGTTGTGAACTCTTATCTCGGACTGATTTTTTAGTAATACCTTGTATCTTGTGTTTTAGTAAGTGATTATGGAAAATAGGAGCAATAATTTGATACAAATAATACGTAGAAAATACTCTCTTGAGATAATCTTCAAACAATAAACGATTCGAATATTGGAGTTCATTAATATTATGATCTATTTATAACAAACATTTGCTTTCAATAATAATTTTCATCGCGAGTTCTATTAAGAAATTACAGAATTCTTGCTAATGTATAAAATAACAATCAGTAAGGAAATAGAAGTACTGAATAAATAAATAAGTGTATATATATATATATCCAAACTCGTAATACATTTTTCAATGGTCAATGACCGGAGAGAATCACGCGATGCATGCTACAGTACGTTGACCATTATATTATAGTGTTAAGCTAATTATTGTCTGAATTTGTAACGATAATATACCAACAGAGAGAAAGATGCGAGGAAACGTAGAAAATGTTTGACATGTTCAAGTTGAAAGGCAAGTTTATTAGTTGGTGAAGAGAAGAAGAGGGAAAGAGAACGAGGAGAAGGGAGAGAGCTGTTCTACTGAGCTAGTAATCTAGATTCTGGATTAACACGGAACGAAGATCTAGAGGAATAATTTCATTATTATCAAGAGGTTTCTAGATCGCATAGATTATACGTAGAATGTATGTATGTAGTTCATTGTCAATTACGCTCTTCTCTCTACGCAGGCACGTGTGACAACACTGTCCACAGCAAAAATATTTTTCCCTCGGTGAATAATAATTATTTTATATCACTGTGCACTGATTATAAATCTGAAATCCTTTCTCCTCCAATAACCTAATAATTTTCGTGAAATTCAATTTTCAGTAAAAATTTTTACACATTATAGAATATACATTATAGAATTTACACTTGCATTTGTTACAAACGAATTTATTGTACGTGTGATCGTATGTAATTTATTATACGTATAAAAGCATAAAATTGTGCAGTATCCTGTTTACTGTACAATCTAATTTGAATTAAAACTAACCCTTTCGATCCTTCGAATGAATTCAGCTCCAGCTTTTGTACCCACAACCAGGCTACGTAGAAATAGATCCAGACTATCTATGGGAACTAATCATAAAGATGATGAAGAACACCTTCAGAGGTAGGTTCCAATAATTAAATAAAATTGTCATATGAAAAAAAGTTCAAATCACTTCCTTTTTTTTTTATTATTGCAGAAAGCCAATTGAGTCCAGACATGATCACTGGCCTCGGTATTTCCACGCAACGATGCAGTTTCACGACGTGGAACCCGTATGATGGAACATATTATCACAAGTCAGTATAATCACGTTTCTTATTCGCTTCGTATAAATTTCAATGACAAAAGTCGATGTGTCAATGTTTTAAATATCTGAAAGGAAAACAGTTTGGACATTTTTACAAATCTTAATTAATTTATTAGTTAAAATTAAATGAAACATCGATTCTTAAATTTATATTTAGAATGATATATAAATAAGCCGAAAGCACGATCTTACGAAAATTTATATACAATCACCGTGTGTATAGTAGAGTGAATAAAACTTATTCTGATTACAATCACTACACTACGGATATATATATATATTTTTTTTATACTTTTGTAATTATTAGACTATGGATTTTTATGTATTTTAAAATTTTTGTATTATATATATATATACAATTTTGTATTATATATATATATTATAAGACCTGAGACATGAAATTTTTTTTTAGATTTCATTTCTTTAGATATATTTACAAAAATTTTAAAATACATAAAAATCCATAGTTTCATAATTACAAAAGTATAAAAATACATTTTGCACACCTTGCCACGTGTGCAAATATAATAACGTGACTATGACAAAACAATTCTTAACAAATTCTTAACAAAAATCAACTCTTTATAAAAGTCTAGTTCCTAAAAGTAACTCGATCGTTATTGCGTTGATGTAATTGTATGCTTCGTGATTTTCTGTTTCAATTTATTTCTGTCTTCTTATCTATGATAAACGAATAGAAAACATGGCATTTCTCTCAGAATTTATACGTAACTTCAATTAACAGATAAATTAACGTTTATAAAACGATTAAAATCCTTTGCTTTCATTTTAAATATTTGAGACTCTACAATTGTTTTGTGACTGGCTTTATCTTGCGTTTCAGCTTCATCACGTGGAAAGATCTACGAGCTAACAGCATGGTGAAGGAATGGAATTCGTCAATGACAACAAAAGGATTACGCGTGGGATCGCGGATTATGTACACGTTCCTCAGGGAGAGCCGATATTTGTTGATGAGTGCTTTTAAATTCATGAACACGCAGGTTCTTGTCTCCTTTCTTTCTTTTTTCGAATTTTCATAACGTGTGTTTTTTATCTTTTTTTTTTTTTTTAATCTTTGTATCCTTCTTATGACAGCTTGATTAGCTAAGAACGAGAGATGAAAAATGAAAATTGTAATGTTCTACTTTTAGACAATCGATTTTCATTTTCAATCGATCTTGAATCCTACTGATTTTTTTAAAATTCGAATTAATCCTCTATAATTAAATTTTGCTTGATTACGAATATATATAAATATTATATATATATATGGTAGGACCTCCGTACCCACGAATTTGTTATTCATATATTCGGTTTCACATGTCCGCGATTGACCGTGACTTACAAAGGATTTATTCCTATAATATTTATTCATTACAGGAGGCAATAGATAGTCGTGAATTTGAAAGTAAATAACGATTTTATAATTCCGAATTTTTTCAGTTTATGAAGTTGATTACCATGGCTTCCCGGTGATATACATATGGAGGCTAATCTGAATAATATTATAAATTATTTTCTATAAAAAAAATGACACGTCATCATACAAACGTACTTTCCTGGTCGAAACCTTCAGTTGATGGAACAGTTTACTTATGACTATTGTAATAATTGACTAAGTGCGGATATTTATCAATTTATGGGAAACTTAAATATGCAAAACGCAACAATATATAAAATATTCAAAACAGAGAATTTATTACGATATATATATATATATATATATATATATATATATATATAATATATATTTATATAAATATATATATTTTATAATAGATAAAATTTCTACTTAAATTCCATTTCTTTAGCTGTGGTCATAAATATTTGAAAATGCATTAAAAAACACAATCTAATAATATCCAAACTATTCTGTCAACCGATAATTTTAATTGTCTTCTGAACACATATACCCTCCATGTAAAACATAACATTTTCGATTGAGAATATTATAATTGAGAACTTTAAAGCATATTCGTGCAATTCGATAATGTCCTCAATTAATATTGAAATGATATTGTAACAAGACAGATATAAACGTATATGTCAGAGTTGGAAAGATACGGAGGTTCTACAATATTTAGTAATTGTAGAGTGATATACAGTGATAAATAAAATAATAACAATGAATGAAAATGAAATAATATTTGAAGTATATGGAGGATTATGAAGTTTTGATTTAAATATTGTTTATTTTTTCCTACTTGTTTTTACGACGCAACTTAGATAACACTAAGGTTATTGTGGGCTCTGCAAAACGTGCCAGGTTTGCTGGACGAGGCGAAGAAAGGAAATGCCTTATTCGGATGCATTGATAGTTGGCTTTTGTATAAATTTACTGGTATTCATTTCAATATTTATACTTTAACAATACGTATTTATTTCAAACGAGTAAAAGAGACAAAGACTTTGTTATTTCAACTGTTTCGATATATATCAAGTTCATTTCGAATCCGGATGACAGTTCAGTTCGTGGATATATTTCATTATCTCGGTTCAATAATTAGTAATCCAATTATTACCAAGACAGTAGTGAAGTAAAAAGATTGATCAGAACGAATATACTCTCTTATACAGAATGTCCAGAAGTTTGATGCGCAAATTTAGCCAGTGTATTCAATAAATAAAGACGTGATTAGAATGTTCACGTAACAAGAGGTCCGTAAATGCTTCATTAAAAGGTTGAAACAAATATATGAGATGCTCCAATCACGTTAATGCTCTTCCTCTTAGTTTGACAAAAGATAAGACAATTATATAAGATTTCGGTCTTCAGCTACGGGACTGGCAAACTTTGAACACACTGAACTTCCGGAATTCCGTATACTCACAGTCGGATCCCCCGAAATAATGTATTCTCTTTCCACAGGAAGGCACGTGACAGACGTTTCAAACGCGGCAGCGACTGGAATGTTCGACCCGTTTCTTATGAATTGGTCCACTATAATGATGAACATGCTGAAAATTCCGCGCGCCATATTCCCGGAAGTAGTGGACACCAGCGGTGATTTCGGTGTCACGCACAAAGAAATATTCGGCGTTGAGATTCCCATATATTGCTCAGTAAGTCTTGCAATTCCCCTTGAAAATCCGTGACGATTCGAACGACGCTCCCCATTCCAACGAATCGACGAATCGTCATTTACTGATTGACAATGTGATTTAAAGTAGATGGCTGATCAATCGGCCTCGCTGTTTGGCTCAGGGTGCCTGAAAAAGGGAGATCTGAAGATTACTCTGGGAACTGGCACCTTTGTAAATGTGAATTCAGGGACTAAAGTGCACGCTTCGGTTTCGGGTAATTTTTAGCAATTTTTAATAAACAGGGAAGGGAAGCAAGTCATTAATGTCGGTGTTGGTTAATGAAAGTATTATATTGAAAGAACCGAGATAAATTTGAAACAGCCACGACTTGAAACTTAGAACGAGGTGAAAAATTAATAAACTTACGAGTACTACAGTTTAGATCTGTATTGAGGTGAAAAAGTCATAAACTTACGAGTGCTACAGTTTAGATCTGTATTGAGGTGAAAAAGTCATAAACTTACGAGTGCTACAATTTAGGTCTGTATTGAGGTGAAAAAGTCATAAATTTACGAGCACTACAGTTTAGGTTTGTATTGAGGTGAAAAAGTCATAAACTTACGAGTACTACAATTTAGGTCTGTATTGAGTTTAGCACTCGCATTTTACGGCATTATCTAGTTATTTATGTTATTTAAGATTGCCGATGACGTTCATCTCATTTTCAAAATATAAAACATTTGTAATTTTTCTTTTGTGACAATATAATAATGTCACTTTTGAATTGAAGGTATTACAATGAAACAGTATTGTTCAGAAGTCGCAAGAAAGAGATACAGAAATATTTTTTTTTTTTTAGAAAGGCAATAAATCTAATTGCAAGCACTAGTTTTAAAGATGATTAACTATGATTCTTAATTTTTTTTCCAACAGGATTGTACCCTCTCATTGCGTGGCGAATCGGTAGAGAATTAGTATACATGATAGAAGGTGCATGGAACGACACTGGAAGTCTTGTCGAATGGGCCAAAAAAATAGGTACATAATTTTTCCTCCAACTTTTACCATCGTAACTTCATAAATTATTCGGGCAGTTTGGTAATATCATGTCCAGTCTAATCAAATCTAATCAAAGTGTACAAATTAATGATGCATTGATCTACAAAATCTTCAATTTTGCGATTTCAGGCTTACTCGACGGAATTCCCGAGATAGAGAACCTGGCACAGTTAGTGAACGACTCTAACGGAGTGTTTTTTGTTCCTGCATTTAGCGGATTACACGTACGTTCGATATTTCCAAGATCGTGTAATATATCTTGTATCATCGATTTACGTAATGATTTAATTTGATTAAGAAAACTTCTCATCGTTCGTTTTTTCACAGACTCCGGTAAACGATTACACAGCAGCAGCAGGTTTTATAGGCGTGAAACCTACCACAGAAAGAGCTCACATTCTTCGATCGATATTAGAAAGTATCGTTTTTGGGATAATCCTGGTTTTCGAAGTGTTAGAGAACGAAACTAATCAGATTTACGATAAAATACGGTAAAACATGATAAAAAATTCTCTGCGAACATTTTACTAGAAACGCAGAAAGAATGATCCGAGGTGAAAAGAAATATTAGAGAATGCTATTAAAAAATATTAGAGAATAGTAATCAAAATAGAATCAACCTATGGCCATTCGTCATGTTTCAATTTTCTCACCTTTTCAAACTCAATACATCGATTTTTAAATTTTTCGTTTTTTTTCAAAAGTTTTTTCTTTTCATTTTTTCTACCCCCCCCCCCCCAACTGTTAGATTTAATTTACAAAACTTAGCAGCAGAGTTATGCTCTCAGCTTCCAGTTTTTTCGTATCGTGATTGTGATTCTTCGATTTATGCGTGATTTCTGTACGAAAATTCGTTTCAATTTCAATTTCAATGTAACGACCCAATGTTAATTTTCATATGAATTGCTATTCTTCTGGCAGGGTCGACGGCGGAGTGTCAGCAAACAACTTTGTGTTACAATTGTTAGCCGATCTTTCAGGTCTCAAGGTTGAACGAGCGACAACTACGGATATATCTATTTTGGGAGTGGCATTTCTTGCTGGTTTACAATGCGGTACGTAAATTGCTAAACACCCTGTTGACCTGTTAACGACACGGTATTACAAATAGCCTTGCACGTATGTACACGCTCGAATTCGATTGTTATAATTTTTGTTATTTTCCTCTTACACCTAGCCGAAGAGAACTTTTTAACAAAAATGTTTCCTTCTATAAATTGTGACTCGGTATAAAACATCGTGAGATTAATTTTCGACCTTTAAAAGTGATATTTTATAAAAATTAATTCATACTTTTCATAAGCTTCTAAAAGTAGGTTTGCTAAAATTTTAGCCTATTTACACGATTATATTTTATATAATTCAAAACATTTGGAACATTTTCAAAAGAATCTTTACATCTCACATGTAATTTTTTAAACGAAAATTGTAACACATACAAACGAGTGTTATTATACAAACGAGCAAGTTGTACGTATCTACGTACCTATTATATTTCTCATTCTACTTTCTCTCTCTAATAACGGAGAAAGTTCGAAACATTGCGCTTATTTAACCGCTTTCTCGCGTAATACAAGATATTGAGGAACTAATAATGCGAAACTACGATATTCCTTTCCACTCCTACATTTTGCAACGACTCTTTTGCTCACTATTTTAATAAATCGAAGACCATCTTGATAAATCGAAGAGTAAAAGAAATTAAAACAGTTCTTTAGACTAATAATCGGAAAATCGATATAGCGTAAATACAATAAATGAAATACATTCTAATTTTAATAATAATCTTCAGTACGCGGAGATGACATTGTCATATTTCAATCACAATTGAAACAATAAGCTATAATATTTAAAAATTAAATGGAACGCCATGTACATGCATTCGCAATCGATATAAATATTTCATCGAACATGAAACTACTGACAACGATTTTTATCCGACGTAGCGTCTTTACTTAAAAATTTCTTTATCTGTTTGTTCAGGTGTATGGAAGAGCAAGGAGGATATATACAAACTTCGAAAAATACAGAAGATATTTAAGCCAAACGTAGAGAACATGTTGCGATATCGACTGATGATGATTCAATGGAAACAGGCACTTCAAAGATTCGGTCGATGGTACACTGATTATTCATAAATTGCCAGTATCTGCCATTTAAAAAAAAGAGAGAGAAAGACAGAGACGAAAAAGTTTCGTTCGTGTATAAAATACAATGAGATGAAAGTACGTTAAGAAAGTACGTCGTCTAGTTTGATAGCGATGATTTATAAATACATTTTTGTACAATATTGTGTATACGCATTGCAATAAAGTTGTTTGTAAATATTGTTGTTAAAAAAAAAAGGAGATAATGTTCCTCTTTCGAAGATAATGAATATTAATAAAGAATCTGATCTCCAGAGTAATTTCGTTGTCTTTTCCTTTTAATCCACTTTCATGCTACTTTGTACGAATCTCATTATAAATTTCTCTGTCAGAAGTCGAGGTCACGAAGGTCAAAATAAATATTACACATTAAGGATTGCAGTGTCCTGAGTGTATAAGAAAATTATACATTACACTATGAAATAAAAGGCATTTTACACGTGAAGAACTTTACTCATCAATCATATTATAGATCCTCTGATTAGCCATCTTAAATTTTTCATGTTTCTGACGTGGTGAACTTGGCGATATGTTTCGTAGAAATATAAAATGAAGAAAAAAGGAAGAGTCGTGAGGATTTAGTAAAAAAATTTTTAAAAATTGAAGAATACTCAGAACGCTACAACATGGAAAAGAAAATCAATAGTCCAATTTAGGAAATCAGTATATTTGAACGAAACATCTCTGAAACTTAATCTAATGATCTATGAATATTGTATAATTTTTCGACTGATACCCTGCTCTTTAAAAAAACAAATTTGCACGGAGATCCGCGGTCTAATTAAAGATTTGCTTCACCAACTAGATATAGAACGTTGTACAAAGAGTTCTGACTCCATTGTGAATGTCTTGTTATTGTATACTAATTTATTTCATTGATTTTGCCATTTCTATATTCATCTATTTCCATTATACGTAAGTCATTATCGTGGTATTCATTATACGTAAATCATTATCAAGGTATTTCGCAATTTATAACTTAAAAACGCGACAAGCGTATCTAAATTAGTATAATTTAAGCAAATTTCGCAGAAAAATGTATCACTGGATTATCCTCATTTTTATTGCTAGTTTTTTATCAGCATTCTTTGTCAGACAGAATTATCATCGGCTTTTTTAACAGCGCTGCGGTACACCGATTTTCTAAGGTTATTGTACAAACTTCACTCGGAGATTACATGGCAGACTTTCTCAATTACACGAAGCGAGATTGCCCACGCAAGAGTCAGATACGTCTGACAGTGAGTCCGAGTAGAGAAAGTTCGAAGGAAAGTGAATGGTTTCACCCATTTCAGGAACGATCCAAGGAAGGAGGAAGCAGAAGCGTAACAAACTCGTCGAATGTATAATGGAAATTCTGCGTTCTGCGTTACGACCGTCTATAATTCGAACGGTAGCATTCAATCGAATTATCTAAATTCATTCTCGCCAGTAAAGTGGGAATTTTATGCAACTTTATGCGGTGGAAGAATCGAGAGTTGCGCCTTGATTCGTAACTATCGTGTAACTTGAAATTTGTTTGTCCATACACAGGATGTATCGATTAGTACAACAGGCCAGTGAGTGGATTCCTTGTGAGACAAACAAATCGAAATCGATCTTCCATTCGAGGCTCCGTTTACGAGAAAAAATTCGTCGCACGTGTGCGCTCCTGTCACACTTTTCAGTCTAGTAGATCACTTTCTTGTCTTTTTGATTACGCCAATAAATATTTATTAATATTTCATACATATTTATATATTTATTAATATATTTATTAATATATTAATTTATATATTTATTAATATTTATTAATATTTTATACATATTTATATATTTATTAATATTTTGTACATATTTTATATATATTTATATAATTATTAATATTTTATACGTATTTTATACATATTTATATATTTATTAATATTTTATACGTATTTTATACATATTTATATATTTATTAATATTTTATACATATTTTATACGTATTTATATATTTATTAATATTTTATACATATTTTATACATATTTATATATTTATTAATATTTTATACATATTTTATACATATTTTATATACATTTATATATTTTATACATATTTATTAATATTTATATTAAATTTTAAGTTTCTAAGTGAGATAGCTGCAACTAGCTGCAATAGCTCCAAACACTTGGAATTTTGTTATTAGAGAATATTAATAGAAATGCGTTTAGTGTTTTATCACAAAAATACCAAATTAATCGTTTGTGACAATTGGAAAATTGGTTAAAATTGACTGGAATAAAATTTTGGTTTCAAAGAATATTACAGAGGTATACTTATTGCTCACCGATAATACCAAGTTCCATCACACATTCATTACAGCCATTCGTTCAAATTCAAATTGCGAACGAAACGAAATTCTACTTAAAAAAGAATTGAAGTTAACTTCGTTCGTTTCGAATAACTTTAAACAACTCGGTACTCGAACATCTCGATTGTTTAATTACACACTTTCATCTGTCATTCTCACTATATAAACGTTGCTTCTGAAATTCCGATATTCAGCGAAACAAATTTCCAAAGGAAAGATCGTCGATGAATTTTCAAACCGTTGCCTACGTAAAAAGCGTTGTGTGTCAGATCATGGAATCGTCAGCGATTGAATGCAGATAGGCATGACCCCTGACATTTTCACTCGATAAAATGAATTCCTAATGAATTTCAACTCTGTATACGAGACCAGTCTTTCGTATAAAGATCGACGGAATCAGTTCTGTACGAACGATTTTCCTCGTTTTTCTTTATAGTGTTTCGAGTGTAATTAAAGCGAGATATTAAAATCTCTGGAGAATTACTTCGCGAGAGCGAAACGTACTTCTGACAGCGAGCCTGAACTTCGAACAGCAAAAAAATGACTGAGCAACAGGTATCAAGTGTACCGGTAAGTGCGAATCTTATTGTACATTGTAACTTTCTTTTCAGTTTCTTTCATTTCAGTTTGATTTTTGACCAAGAGACGGATTAGCAACAAATGTTTCTCAGTAGATACTGCTCGAAATGATTGGTCATGCAATTGATTTCTTTTTTTTCGCAGAGTCATGAGATTTGTATAAGTTAGAGTTGAATGATTGCTGTCAGTCTTCGCTCGAAAAAAAGATCGAAAAATACGACACTTCGTTAATTTATAAAATTAGAATGTAGCGAGTGCGGATGTAAATCTGCAGGTAATGTAAAAAAAAAAACAAGAGCAATAGTTCGCGAGTTCTTGTTGAGAGCTAAAAAAAATCAAGACGAAACAAGAGAGAAAAAAACACAAAACGATTTTTGATCGTTGACGACGAAAATTAAACTCAAATTTTCGAAGTTCTTCGAAATGACAAGAACATGGTTGATACAGCGTTACTCAGCAAATACGTGTTATTTAATTATCGGACTGTGTATACAATGTAATTTCAGACTTAAGTGTGTAATAACTGTAAAATATTGCTTGCAGAGACTTAGAAAGAATTATTATTAATAATTATTGCCACTCGTAATTATTATTCTATTTTCTACGTTCGTATATTTAATGTATATTAATGAATACTGATAATGGCTATTTTGACCTTTTACATTTCGTAGTTAAGATTTTGGAAAAGTGATATAATTCATATATCATAATTTATCATCCAGCATGAAATTTAATTCTAAAATATTTTTGTAATCGCGCTTTCGTTAATATTAATAGGAGTGGATTAGGTTTGTGTTAGGTTTGGGTTATGGATTTTAAAGTGCGCAAAATTTAAAAGCGTAAAAATATACGTAATATATTTAAATACATGTAAAATAACTAATTACAATTTTTAATCAAGAAATTCAACTCTCATTCACGTAAAGATATAAATTTGCATGAAAATCTGCGATCTATTTATTAAATTTTTTAACTGTAAGAATATACGTTATATTAACACAATCAGTGAGGCTATAGTTAAAATTTCAGATAGATTATTCATGCTATATACTAACTTTTTATCGAATAAGTACGTTTGCATTGTTCAAGATTCAAAATCAAAGAGACAGAGATAAAATTATTGCGTAAAAACAAGATCTTTTCAAGCTACACTTCTTTTCGACGATGGAAAAATTTTATTACTAGAATATGGATTTATGCATTTTTGAAAAACTAAGAGTTTCAAAAATGTATACATATAATATACCTGTATAAAATATCCAAAGTGCATAGTAGATAAAAATAGAGTATATAGTATAGTATATAGTAAATAAAATTTTTCTATTTCTTTAGTGATGTTCATGAAAATTTTCAAACGCCCAAAAACTTAATTTATTGCTTAAACTAACAAGTCATAAAATTAAAAAGAAAAAACAGTTAAAAAATAAAACGAAGCAAATAGAATAACATATTCAAAGAGATTAACATATTACGATATATTATTTGATTTCTCGTTGGACTTTTGTCTCTCTTATTATAATTTAATATAATTATAAATATTATATTAGCCATTCCTTTTATCAATATCTACCAACTGTCGAGATTAAATTAAAGAGACTCGTTTGAATAATTTATGCATATTATGTTGCAACAAACCTGGCGCGGTGTTCAATTATCGTTTCTTAAACAAAGATAATCTACAATTTATATGTACGTTGGCGAGTTACGATATTTCCATTCTTGTTTTTCCTTGCATAATTTTTCAAATCTCGTGATAATTTTACAAATCTGCTCGCCAAGAAAGCAAATGTAAACAGGAATTTATCGTTGAATACTGCGTTGCAACGTGAAATGAAGTCAGCGAGAGAAAATGGAAATAAGGAACTTTGTAGAAGAAACGTGAGACGAAGACATTTTCTTTTGAAATAAAGATCAACGATACTTGATGATATAACAAAATAATCACATTATAGGAACGATAAAGATTGAAGAACCGATAGAAACGATTGCAAGTGGTAGAATTGATTATAGAATTCGTAGTCTAGTCTAGATCGATTAATTTTAATATATCGCGTAATATTTTTAATATTTTTAACAACTGTAGGCAAATAATTTTACACAGGAATTTCCGTTAACAACAAAGCGTATATTTTCGTGATAAAACTGAGGACTGGTTCGGACGTGCGATCTCGGCGACGTTCTCCCGACAGAGTGTCGCCTGGCTTCGTGTCCTCGTTCGGGTATCCTCCTCGGTCCAACCCTCGTCCGGATACCCTAGCTCGGTTTACAGGCGTCGGTCATAAACATTGGAATCGGCCCATGGTCCTTAATCTCGAGTGGCCTCTTCTACCGAATAGCCAAGGAAGTTTTCCCACGCCGACGGGCGGCGTGGCTAACATTTGCTTACACAACGTAGTTTAAGTCGAGACTACGAACATACGTTCCTGTTACGTTTGAATTTATGAGACACAAATCTGTTTCAAATATTCGCTTCAGAGGAAAGAAATACGAAAATATGCATAATTTGCATCTTAATATTTTAAAGACGTCAATCATATCAGAGACATTAAACACATTCTTATCTCAAGACATTTCGTACTTTGAACTGTATTTTTTATCTTCTCGTCTCTTAATTTTCCAATTATGTATTTTACCTTTTCAATCCTTAGGATTTTTCTTTATTTTAACAATAATTTCATTTGATTTGATTCTATAGATTCAAATCTCAATAATCTGAAATTGGGTAAATCTAGATTGAAGACATTAATTTAAGAAGAGAAAGGATCTTTGCTTCTATATTTTATTTCTTGTTATAAACAACAGAGTATAAATTATAATAGTACGGTAACTAGATAAGATTTATGACCTGGCAGTTTTAGTAATTTAAGTCTGTGAGCCTGTAAATTGGTCGTTTTTGCAAAATGAAGATTGCAAAATTATGGAATGTCTGTGGGAACTGTGTTTTAGCATATATGGCATTATATAAATTATATATGTACAAACATTTAAGGTATTTAATTTTATTTTACACTTTGTGTATTCTCTCTGATAGAAAATAGTAATAAAATTAAATCAAATTAAAACTGAAGCGAAACCTAAATATTTATAGCTACCAACATGCAATGATACCAGCTAAGAATTAAATAGAAATTTTTAACTCTAGTGCCATCCTGAGATGAGATAAATTTTCAATTTTGAACGTGTTTCACACTCTGATAACAATTAATTCGAAGCCTCGTAATATTCAATTATGCAAAGACAAATAAGTCAAAATAGAAGACAAACACAAAGTAGAAATTTTCTCCGTTTGTATTTCACATATTATTCCTCAAACATTTCGCAAGTGCTCGTCCAATTAGTCAAAAAATATTCCTCTGACGCTTCGAAACGCGATTCGAAACCTCGTGATATTCAACTCTACGAAAAGAAAAGAAATATTGAACTAAAGGACAAACATTTACGAGTAGACAATTTGAAAATTCCTGGTTCTTGATTCATCGTGCTCACGTTTAACTGATTTTCTCTGTATATCGGTCCTTCCTGGAACTGTCATCACTGTCAACACAAAGTTTCACTGCGTAGCCTGTATTCTTTATATGTTTGCATCCAGTGTACGATTGAATAAGGATATCTCTCTGTTCAGTCGTGATACAGCTGTGCGAAAGGCAACATCGTCTTTTCTATGTTACTAAAGTGAAATTGTGAGATAAGACTCTAAACACATAACTCTTTCACAAGTGGAATCACGTTTCCTTTATTCCGAGCATCATTTCTCAATTGTCGGAATGAACTGAGTCGACGAGATTTCGGGTTGAACGAACTGACCACGATGTGATTTAACGCTGACAAGCATAACAGGATTAAATTAAAAGGGAAAATATATAATTGTGTTTATACGAGCAAGGATTAACAGTAATTGGAAGAGCAGATGGTTATTATTAATCATCGAAAAATCTTTCTTTTAGAAAGAGAACAATTTTTTTTTTTAACTTGGAATGTGTTTCATGTTTGAACAGTAAAAGATAAACAATTTCTTTTTACAGGAATTAATTCAACAGACAGTGTAAGAATATTATATAACTTGAGCTCCTTTGGACTTGGCAATGAAATTTGAAATTTTAATTAACAAAGTAGAAAAAAAACAAAAACTATTAAAATTATAAAATACGGTAGATATAGAATCAACCATAATTTTAGTAAATTCAATTATTGCGTACAAATCTCATTTAGAAATCTAATTAACGATTATCTACGAGATAATTACACAATACTTGGGAATCTTGAATTTGAACTATCTCTAGTGGTTCTCCAAATTTCTTAAACTAGGTAACATCATTACAGAAAGACAGAAAATCAAAATTGAAGTTTGATAGCAATTAACAATTTGAATTCATAGCCTTAACATTGAAAGGAAAATCGATTTTGCAGTTATATTGTTGCGCGCACAATTTTTTTTTTCTTTTTTGCTGAGATGCTAATTCCGTCAATTATGTTTGCAGTCGGGAGTGGTGCTCGAAATAGACGAAGAACTTATCTACGCCGGAGCACAGAATATGTTGCCAGTCGTGGACGAGTGTCGAATCGCTGTGGATTCAGATTTATCAAACGACACCCAGGCCAGTGAGTAGCCATCTTATTTTTTTTATTTCTATTTTCGCTGTAATTTATCATATAACGATAGGTTGATTGTGTTATGCGTAAATACACGTAAGAAAAAATGATGTGATTATGCATTTTGTTGGAAAAGAGAAAGATTTCAAACATGAAAATGATTAGTTTCTGAGACCACGAAGTGATGATTGTACTATTGTATCAGTGACAAAAGTTACATTTAGTTACATTTAAAAGTAAAAATATTGTTTACATACGGTGAAATTATTGCAAGGTTATATTCAATATTTAATATTTTTTCAACAGTTTCGTTAACACGATCTGAATTACGTTAAGGTGTCATTTAAGATTCTAAGAAAATTGAGTTTGAAAATTTACCGTGTATTGAATATTTAGCTAATTCTGAACTGTGTGGACAAGAATGGAAATTTTCTCTCTTTTTGTTTTTGCATACATAAAATCCTCTGATTCCACGTAAAAATAAATTAGATTAACGTGGTCGAAAATTAGTGAATTTAAAAAAAATATTTCAGCTTTAATTTTGCAAGTTTTGTCGCATAAAAAAGAAGGAAAATAAACTCGTGAATCCTGCGTGAATCTTCATCATCGTACTTTGTTTTCCACAAAATGAATTTTACAAAATTAAAATTAAAATATCTTTCAAGTTTAGTCATTTTTCGATCACGTTCCTCTGATGTCATTTTTACGTAGAGTAATGAAAAGATTGAATGCATGCAAAAAGAAAAAAGTATAAGTTCCTATTTAAAAAAGATGATGCGGCTTGTTATAGTTGTGTGAATCATCCTACGTGCTCAAAAACTATAGCGTTCGACAATATGATTTTGAAAATATGATTAATATAATAAGAAACCTTTCTTCGATCTTTGTTTCATTAAATTTACATTGCTTTTTCTTGCCTTTCCTTTCTGTTAATTCAATTGCATGAAAAGATTGTTACATTACGCAATGAGTACTCGTTATCGCAATAGTTTTTATTACGCAAATAGATGAATGTCAATTAATATCTTCATATTTAATTCAGAATTCAGTAGAAAGTTAAAGCAATCAATTGGCAATCGACAAAATTAAAGTTAAAGCATACTATCAATTGGCAATCGATAAAATTATTTCTTATCTTTTCTGCTTGAAATGACCTAGAGAAAATTATCATTTTATCAGAAAATAACAATGTCGAATGTAGATTATCAGGATATTGAAATGTCGAAAAACAAAGTAATGCAACTATCATTATTTAATATCAACTTCAATTTTTTTCAATTATAATCTTTATTCATAGAATAAAATTAAGGTGTGCGTGAAGTTTGAAAACGAATTCATAACAAAATTCCACAAATAAATACGAATACTTGTACGTGACTTTTTTTTATCTCTTCCAGTCGTTCAATCGTTTCTTAGACTTCTTACTTCTAGTGAAATCGCGTATCTGCGCTGCTTATCAGTGCAACATATTCGTGGTACATTGCATCAGCACTAGCAGAATTACAGATATCTGTAACCAGCCAGAAGTTTTTATTTTCATTCTATTATCAATGCACTTATACTAAGTCAACTCGTAGAAAGAATGTCATTTAAAACAGAGTAGAGTGTCATTTAGAATGGAATGTCGAGTTTCAACAGTTCACTTTAAGGACATATAAATTGTTCTGTAAATCGACATTAATCGCATGTCTAAAGAACTTTCTAAAGAACTTTCAAAGCTCTAAACTGTATATATATGTATTATCTATAATAATTACCTATATAATCTCGGCGGAGCCTAGCTAAGACTTGTCAGAACTCTCTTATTAAATGAATCACGATTGCACGTTGTATATATGTACAACGCAGAGTTTACAGCGTTGTTTTATTAAAAGAGATAGCAACGTTGAATGAAATTCGCATGAAAAACGAACAGACTGCTAATTTTTATGCAAATTCGTATTTTTATAAACCTAGTTACATAGAAAATAGAATTTAAATAGAAATGTGAAATTTCATCTATTGCAATAAATAAATATATGTGCAATATCATTGTAATAAATAAACTTCGTACATTTCGTATATTTTTGCATTAATAGCATTATGTGCACCTCGTGCAATTCTAACACTATGTAACAAAACGAAATAAGCGCAATGATGAGCAAAAACAAATTTTTCTGTCATTTTCGTCGCAACACTTGCTTCATCGATAGAAAACACAGAACAGGCCAATGATTAGGTTAAAATATAGTCATGGAACAATAAGGATGGAAAAGTGAGTTACTTTCATTTGAGTGTATCAGACCAAACTCAAAATCCATGGACAAAGGTATTACAGCGTGTATTTCATTTCTTAGTAAAAGGGAATCGTAATTTTAATTAGAAAAGATAACGCACAAGTTTGTTTGAAAATTACTACAAGAAATCAAGATACCGATAAGACTCCTATTCACGTGACAAAGGTTATTGGAAATTATTTAAGATAAAACTCTACTAATATTTGGAGTAGTCCTCCTATTGAGAACATGTGGTCTATATCTAAATGAAAAATAGTTGAAAGTAGATCAAACAACATTATTTCTCGATTTCAAACGATTAATCAAGAAAAAATGGCAATTATTTACCATCGACGGATTGCAGGAAGTCATTAACATTTTTCTGCTAGATTGATGAGCGAGAATTAAACAATTATGACGGCCATTTTGGTTATTAAATAATTAGATAAAGTAAGTGTTCACTTACTTTTGTAATTTAACTTTATGTAATAATAATTATTTATATTTGTTTATACCAGTTCGTTGTTAATTAACATTCTATTTGCTAACACTCACACAATAAATGAGTGTATATTATCTTACGTAGAACTAAATCTTCATAAACGTCGCTGTCATTTTATCACTGATCGTTTACTTTTTTTTCTTTTTGTTACATAGTGTATGTATGAATTGACGAGTATATGTTTATTTTATCAACGACATTGAGCTTCTTCGCAGGCGCGAGTACCAACGCGCCTGCGAAGAAGCTCAACTAGCAAAGGAGAATTTATAAAAAGCTATCTCGAAGGCTTATTCAAACGAGTATGTCATAAAGTTGCACTCGCAGATTTATTAGTTCATCGGTTACTCGCGCACAATCAGTCTCGCATAGTTACAGTCTGAATATAGTTGATTGAAAAATAAATAAATAAATAAATTCAATTCTGTTGAAATAAATAAATAAATTCAACTCTGTTGTAACAAATAAATAGATATATAAATAAATAAATTCAATTCTCTTGAGCAAAGTGTGTGTATCGACTGTACAGTATATATCCAATAACAATAGCTATTTTATAATTCGTTTAATTATTTTATAAATAGGAGGTGAGTGACAAAAATTTATTTTCTTTTTATCTTAGAACAACTAGAAGGCTATTCTATAAATGTAGAATATGTATTCTATAAGTTTTTTAAAGAGTTTAATTCCTAAATATAAATTGTTAATATAATTAACTATTGATATAAATTAAATTATTAAATATAATATAATAATTATTAAATTAAATTATTAAATATAATATAATAATTATTAAATTACATTATTAAATATGCGTGTAAATATAAATTATACTTATTATTAAAAATTTAACTTTAAATATTATTGTATTCATGGTCTCAAGGAAATATAGTATTCACTTTTTTTTTGTTCTCCTTACGTGAATAGCGTGTTGCGCAAGAACTTTTAATAAATTAATAAATTAAACGTTTCCAGTCGTAATATATGAAAATATTATAAAATTATCACAATAGAACTTTGTATGAAGCTTATTTATGCAAAACCAAATTTTAGCCGGTGCTCAATTGTAAATAAAACTCTTGTTATATATATATATAAATCCGCTTTTGAACGTGATTTCTACTATACATGTAAAATATCTATATAAATAAAAAATTACTGGGGTATTATGTGAACTCCAATTATAATTATCATTTTTCTAGGTTTCTCCAAGGTCGTTGTTATTTCTCATGTAGAAAACCTACATTTCTTTCTATTTTTCATAATAGACGAAAAAGTATGTTTAAAGATGATCTTGATCACCAGAGATATAATGGAATTTTACGACGCTGTTAAAATAATACGTGAATTTATTACAATGTTATTCAAAGTTTACCGACGATGCATTTTCTAAAATGAATAATATATCTACTGTGATTATTTTCTGATGAAATAGCAGAACAAACGTTAATTATGCGATTCATTGTATCTCTGGAGCAACTTAGTAATTTTTTATTCAATACTTAACAAGCTACCCGTGAATAAAAAAACTGAACTATCATGTCGACATTGTACCACATGCATTCATATACATATATTACACATTTAATGATTCAATCCGTTCGCATCACGGCATAAAAATGTTGCGTATTTTTCTCCGTCTTCTTTTCATTAATACTTGTAAAATTTATTAATAAAGAGTAAATTCATTTATCGTAATTTTGGTGATCATCTGGAAATCATGATTCAGGGATATTTAAATGTATTTCTGCGTCTGTTACAAGATGGAAGAATAGAAAGAAATACAAGTTTTTTCCTACATAAAAATTAACGACGACTCCAAAAAGAGAAACGGGAGAAAATGAACGAAATAAAACTTCTTTTTCCACGATACTCAGTTTTAAAAACTATTTAAATTATGTTAAAAATCTTTTCTCATGACATTGAAAACAAGAAAAAATATGTATATTTGAGTGGCCTCTTTCACGCACTTCGTATAATTAGATTTTATATGGAATATATAATATAATATATAATAATAATAATAATATATATATATAAAATATAGGCTTTCAAGGAAAAAACCGGTAATCATCAGGAATTGGAAAACAAAGCGACGATAAAATATGAGCGTAAAAATTACCGTGGAACCATCAACAAAGTTTTACAATAATATTGATGGTAGGAATTTCGTGAAAAAATATAGTGCACCACTGCATATTTTAACGCATCACATACATTGATTCAATATATGTTTCGATATTTATTATATTTTCAACATAAATCTCACTGTAATAATATTTGGAATCTTTCAGACACCGAAGTATGCATTTGAATTTCGCGCGGGGTAACAGAATCATAATCCTACATACATACTTCGATAATTTTGTCGCAACTACTAAAATTTGTTCCATACTGATATAAAATAATACATTCTCAATACTCACGTGCATTGAAAAGAAATTGACAACGATCAGGATTTATCTTCAACTAACACGAATCTGAAAGTAAAATTTAAAAAGTGTTGAGTCCTTCGTTTAACTGATCAGAGAATTATATTATCATTCAGTAGTAGTAAACTCAAGTTCTTTAATTTTTAAATAAAACAAATGCCAGCTTAAAAATACAGTTTATAAAAATTGCATATACGTAGATTGCTATGACACATTTATCTATACAAAATATTTATATAATTTGTTGCGAACAATTTTGTAAAATTACCTAATTGCACTTGTCACTGAACACAAGCACTATGCATGATAATAACATGTCTAACTGTTTTTCTTTAACTATTTGAAACATTTTTGACACATTTCGCGTTACCTGCACGTAAAATTATCAAAATAATAAGATAGCACAAAACAAGTATTGAGTACTCGCCATCATAGACTAACAGATCATTTCAAATCTATCATTTCTCTTCCAAACTGTGCTGACATCTACAAAAAAATACCTCATATATGTATGGTGAAATATTGAAATGTTTTCTTTATCGATACTGTACCACGTAGAGAGTAAATTGTTCTATGGAATTTTGATAAACGTGTGCTCAAAGTTCAGTTTATTGTTCTTCAAGAAATGAAGTACGTATATCTACAGATGTGATGAAAGCAATTTTTAATTTTTTATTTCCAATTTATTCTTGCTGTTTTTATTGTTTTTCTTTTTTTGATTTTATTATTTTGAATTTAGAAGAAAAATATACATATTACTTCCAAGAATTTTTATCAAAAATTACATAATTTCAAATTTTATAATTAACTTATTAAATGCAATCAATATAGTTTCGTCTGTAACTTTTATGTAGTAGTATGCAATAAATTCATTTAAAATATTACTCAAAAGTTAAGAATGTCACACAAATTTATTAACTAATATCATTCATTTCTCAGTAATATAGTGGATATGTATAAATATATATATAATTTCTTTTTTAAATAATTTATCGCTTTATTAATCAATTTTATTGCAAAATAGCTAAATTAAATTTTATTGTTTTATTCATTGGTTTAATTGCTTTCTTCTTATGCTATCATCCGAACAAACATTTTTATTATGGATAGTTTTTTAAATACATTTATATGTTAGTTTCTTTTTTTTAAAAAAGTACTTTCACACAATTGCATTTCAAAATTGCTTTTATATATGTACATTTAATTCTGGATGTTTATAAATTATAATATTGAATGTAATAATAGATTATATAATATAATATAAATAATATAGAATTGTATAGTATTATAATAAATATTTAAATTTTTTATATGTTATTGTACTTTAATATACTTACAGGAATGAAATAATTTGAATATATCTTTTATCAAGTACATTTACAAAAATATAAAAGTTTATTTTATATTTAATCATCATAATTATTATTTATGTAACTATTTGTGGTACTATTTATAATATTTAATATTCATAGATATTAATAATACTATTATATTGATCATTTATGTTCTCTTATTCTAGCACAAACTAACGGGAAAATGACAGATTATGCAAGTGTAAGTACACTAATTTTTAAATATAAAAACTTTTTATTATGCAAATAAAGTTTTTCTTTATAGCTAGTAGATCGCACACGAACTGTATTTCTTAGTGGTAAAACAAGATCACTAGAATGGAGAAAAAAACAATTAAAACAAGCATTACTTATGTTAGAAGAATGCGAACAAGAAATTATATCAGCTCTTGCTACTGATCTGCATAAGGTTGTGTAAAAATTATAATTATTATTTCACTTTATATTCATGTAACATAAATAATGCATTTCTTTTTTAGTGTAAATTTGAAACTGTTACAACAGAAATAAAATTTACAGAAGGAGAAGTTATAGAACTGCTTCGACATCTTAAGGAATGGTCAGCTGATGAAAAAGTATTGATATTTTATAATTTTTTATATATAACTAACTGATTTGAATAGATAAATATAAAATTCAATTTATTTGTATATTTCAGCCTTCAAAAGCAATAGTCAACATATTGGACAAAGTTGAAATTAAGAAAGAGCCATATGGTGTAGTTCTTGTTATAGGACCATGGAATTATCCTTTCCAACTATGTGCAGTTCCTCTAATAGGAGCAATAGCTGCTGGTAATTGTGTTATTCTTAAACCATCAGAATTATCTTCTGCCACATCAGCAGTTTTGGCAAAAATTATTCCAAAATATTTAGATCAAGTATGTACCCCAAGCAAACTTTAACGAGAAGACGAAAATAATTTAGAAAACGCATAGGCATTTCTTATTTTAAAATATTATACATTCTAGGAATGCATTCATGTTGTGCTAGGAGGTGTTTCTGAAACAACAGAATTACTTAAACAAAGATTCGATTACATCTTTTACACAGGATCTACTACAGTCGGAAAAATTATAAGAAATGCAGCAAATAAATTTTTAACGCCTGTTACGCTAGAACTTGGCGGTAAAAGGTAAGAAATGTATATTTCTTATTATTTTATTCTCTACATTTGATGATATATAAAAATGATCAGTAAATGTAATATTTTACAGTCCTGTGTATATAGATAATACAGCAGATTTAGAAATAAGTGTGAAAAGAGTACTTTGGGGTAAATGCATTAATGGTGGACAAACTTGTGTCGCACCCGATTATATACTTTGCACAGAAGAAATTCAAAATAAATTTATAGAAAAGGCAAAACAAATATTAAAAGAATGGTATGCCGATAATCCCAAGGAAAGTCCAGATTTTACACGTATAATTAACGAAAATCATTATCAGTAAGAAATTTTTTTTTTTATTATATATCTTTTAATTTCATATATCTTTTAATTTCACATAATCTTATACTTTTAAAAGGCGTCTTGTAAAATATTTAAACAATGGTAAAGTGGCAATAGGAGGTGTTTGCGATGCTAGTGAGAGATATATCTCGCCAACTATACTCATTGATGTTAAGCCTACGGATCCTGTGATGCAAGATGAAATATTCGGTCCAATATTACCATTTATAAACATAAATAACGCCTATGAAGCAATTAACTTCATAAATAGTCGGTAAGTCCTTTATATATCAATTTTTTTTTTAATAAAAATGCCAAAAAGTATTCAATAATAATTATGAACTTCAAAAATGATCTTCATGTAGGAAATTTATAATAACATAAAATATCACTGATGCAATTTCGTAGATTTAATTAGGAAAATTAATAAAATAAATAAAAAAATATAATATATAACAATTAATTTTTTACGTTTAGTGAATCCCCACTCGTATTGTATATATTTTCCAAGGACAGAAAAGTTCAGGATTTATTAATAAGTCAAACTCGTAGCGGAAGTATAGGAGTAAATGAAACACTAATGCAATATTGTGGTGAGTCAAGATATTAGGTGATGAATGCTTGATTGCTTAATAGTAATATGATTTAGCTATGAAGCAGATATGATTTAGCTTGGTTGTTCTAACAAATTAACTTTTTACTGGAGGTTAGATTAAGATACTGGTTGCGACTATGATATTGCATATTTTGATATGAATCCATATTGGTATTGGTATTGGGTATATTTTATATCATATCATACTCGTTTTTAAAGTGTTAAGATCTGTTAAGAATTTCAATAGACGTACATCAATTTTCATTAAATGAGCAAATGCAAAAAGTTATTCTTTCTCCTTTTATAAATATTAATTGTAGGGAAGGAAATGATTTACGCTGTTTTAAGCCAAATTTTAAACATACTTAAATTCTTCCTATATTTATTCTGTCCTATATAAGAATGTACATACATATATTGGTAATAATATATAGCAATATTTTAATATTAATATGTATAATACTTTATCATTATAATTTTTTGCAACTACAATCATTATTATAATATACAAATAATTTCATTTCTCCATAAATCTTTACATTTGAAGTGTTAATTCATATATATTACATATTCTATACAGGAAGAAGCCATTAAGTTTGTACATATTTTGCACCGACGAAAAAACTATATCATTATTTCTCAAAAATACAAGCAGCGGTAATGCATGTGTAAATGATATAATGATGAATTTAGCAGGTATTGAAGTTGTCATTTATTCTTTGTTTTTTGTTAATGGATACAATTTAATAAAATGTACATATAGTAACACACAAAACTTCTTTTTTGCACATATGTACATATAAATATTTGAGCCTTGTATATTTTGTTGGATGAAACATAGTGATTTACTTATCAATAAACGTATCATTGCATTAAACCAATCTGTCCACAAAATTATTTTCTTACAAAACTGCTAATATATAAAATCTAACAGCTTTTTTTTGTATATTTTCATGCTTCTTACTCAATTTTCAATAGTCTGCATACAGTAACATGTCGCACAGTATCGTATGGCATTTGCATAATTATTTGTACTCTATTATTATATTATAGAATTCTATATAGTGATATTCTTAAATTATATATATAGAATATAAAATATTACATAGGATATTATAGAATATTACTACATAGAATATTTGTGTTCTAAATCTATGTATATGTAATATTATAATATATTTTATATTTAATCACATGTTAAATATCTGTTTTTCAGTTGACACTTTGCCATTTGGTGGTGTTGGTAATTCTGGTATAGGAGCTTATCATGGAAAGTATACATATGATACTTTCGTGCACAAGAAAGGATGCCTTATTAAAGATTTCAATAAATTAGGAGAAATATTAGGATCGTAAGCAATGCTTCATAAAATTATATTGCATAATATTTAACGTAAGAATGAATTCATGAAAGAATAATTATTGTTTGTAATTTATTCCAGATGCCGTTATCCACCATATTCTGACAAAAAGTTGTCTTTCATAAAACTTTTATTGACAAAAGAGCCTAGCATACCAGGAATCAAATACATTCCACATCTTTTAGCATTTGGTTTAGGAGTTCTTGTTACATATGGTGTTTCAACTGCCTTAAAGGTATACAAACTGAAACGTATTTAATGCATTTACTAATCTGTGTTTGTAACAATTTGAACTATTATATACCGCACAAAATATTGCCGCACAATACTTGCAAATTTTTATAGTCTCAATATTAATTAATTCGTTGAAAGTTAAATATTGTAAGAATAAAAATATGATCTGAACGCTTAATTCGTATTTTAAGTCAAGAGATTTATCTTTAAATTAAAATATTTGACAGTTTAAAAAGTAGTTTATGCTGAGAATGGTATATAATAGTTGAATTTCAAAATCATATATTGTTAAATTTTTGTATATTTTATTTATATAATTTTTTTGTGCTTTTACATCATTTAACATTTAATGAATATTATCATTTATCATGTTAACATAACTATTGGAGGCTGAATAAAGGCAATAAGTGTTGCTTACTATAAATCGCAATTATGTTATTCTCTCCTTGACACTTAATTAACACATGAAAATATTTTTTTCAGGTTCAAGAAGAAAATTATTAATGGATTCCTCACAATATTATTGTAAAATTTTGTTATCAATTACAAATTTTAAAACATTGTTTATATTATAATTTTTATGTAATTGATTCTTTTTTATTTTTTATATATTATATGATTTTATAAAATATGTTATTTTAGTTTTTAGTCTACTAAATCGATTATTTTGTTGCCATGTAAGTCATCGATTATTTAAATAACTGGAAATACAGATTGTATTAATCTGACTAATTCGTACCTTTTTGCAATAATATAAGTCAAATGTATTTTTGCAAAAATTTAACTTTAAAACTTCTATTATATATGTATATACTACAGTTAAATAATCGTTGTAATATTATTATTACTATTGATGGAAGATAAATTATCTAAAAAGAACTGATTTTAAAAAGTTCGCACTTTTTAAAATATTCCATAATTAACTGGAGCTTTTATAATTGCATATTGTATTTTTTTAAGATTACAATAAAATTTACTATAGTATATAAAATGTACAACATGTAAAATTGTTGTTGCTATGTTAATCAAATGTATGAAGAGCACAAACGTTTCACTTTTACAAAAATTGTGTACAATTTCATGAATAATAATTTTTATATATTGTTTTTAACACGTTACACATAAATGTAATAATTGTTATATATTTATAACATGTTACACATAAATATAAATAAATTACATATAAAATAGTTGGCATTTGATAAGTATTAACATAAAAAATTTCTTTAGAAAAAGTACTTTTTTCTAGTTTTAATTATTATTATTATTGTTATTATTATCATATGTGATAATTAACATACGTATATTAATTTTATAATATAATATAATATAACATAATTATAATACAGAACGCGATCGATGCAGAAAAGAAAACATTCATGCATGAAAAAAAGTGTTGATATATTTATTGATAGTAAAATTTTAGTTTTTACATTATGTATATCAAAGATTCGTTCATACATGTAATTAACACATTTTTAAAAATACTAGTTTTGTTTCCACTTACACTATAACGTGTTATATACATATTCTATAATTTTATCGAAAATTTAGTATCAGCATCTTAAATATTTATTAATATATCCAATATAGCATCGAAATACTTTTTCATATTTTACTGACCGTAGCAATTTGTCTGCATAAATACATTTATCAACCAAAAAGTTAACATAAATCACAGTTCATTTTCTTACCATTGAACTATTGCTTCCAAGTAACAGACATTTCTCCTCCTTGAGTACTATCGCGCTGTGGACTCTGTAACATTAAAAAAAATGGACTCTGTAAAATTAAAAAATATTTTTTTAATTTTGATTCAATTACCTTAACTTGAATTTGTTGCTTCAACATTGCAGCCCTTAAAATTAACATGCGCGTACGTCTTTGATACTCTTTCCCAACGCTCATAGACTTCTCGAAAGTTGTGCTACGTTGATCAACATCCTTTGCATATAGAATCTAGATTCATAAGATTCATTAAATAAAAAAAAAATGACTCTACAAAAATATTAAGTAATGATAACAATAATTACTTTATTATGAGAATCTATACGAGCTTGTATCTGACCATCCAGAATTAATAACATCAGTTCATCTTCCAATTCTGAAACTGTCCTATTAAAAGCGGTTGCCATACGTCTCATGTCTGCGCTCAAGTATGGACTAAAATATTGTATCAATGCTCTATTTCGAATTTGCGTGTATAATACATTAACGTGTGGCGCTATGTACATGTCCAAAAGGATATTATCCTTAATTTCGTCCAGCAATTTTAAGCAGGACGCATACTTTGATTCGTAAAATTTGAAAATAATATCTCTTAACTGTGGTTCCAATTCTAGAAACAATTTAAACGAACTGCTAAAGATAACTTGCTTTTGTAATTCATGTCTATCAAATGTGGCCAAAGCACAGAGTCCTCCATAGAGAGCAACATTTCCAGGAGACAACAATTCAGGGCAATCACAATGATCCAACGATGCCTGTAAAAAGTGTCTTGCAGCCATTTTGTATTTTCTAGTTGCTAGTTCTGCTAGACCAGCTGCAACTTTTAATTTTGTAACTATAGACTGATTGTTGTCTTTGCCATGAACATCAGAAAAATCTGGTGTACTTTCTGCCTTTGTTACATAGCTCAGTACATGAGTCCAATTTTGCAAATAAACAGAAACTTTAATAACATTCAGACACATGTTAACAATATGTTTTCCACTAGTGCAATAATCCCTTGCTCTGGAATAACACTTCAAGGCATGGACAAGATCACCACAATCTAGATAATGATCTCCTAAATCGTCATGACCTCTTCTGATACTTTCCTTAATTGAATTACTTCTATAGTTTTTAAGATCTGTATCAAATTTCTCTAGTTTCAGAGCAGCCTTTTTAGAACGCGTTTCAACCCAAGCTTGATCTAAAGTCAACATATCCTGGGACGTTGACTGCGCTGCAACATCTGGCAATCCAGGCGTACCTACAGCTTGCACTAATTTTTTGTGTAATATGATGTACAAAGAAACATTGTATGTTGTCATCACATAAGATATAGCCATTTTTAGTGCCTCTATCCTTAACATTGGACAATGGTCAGCTATGTATATGAGCCTATATAATTTAGCAAGCCCAGTGTAGCTATTGGCGTAGACTTCCAAGTCCTGAAAAGAAAGCAGCGTTGCAGCAAGTTTATCAGGACAAATTTCTAAAAATTGTTATCAGAAACCAAAGATTCAAAAGGAAATAACATTTACCAATGTTGGATTTTCCACAATGTACGGTTCTTCCTCTGCGTTATCATTATCTTCTGCAGGAGCATCAACTTGCATAGGCTCCACAACATTTTGCTATGTATAAAAAAACGTCATATATATGCCATCATATTATATAAAAATAGAAATTCATGGTTCACCATGCTTCAAACAATAAAAATATGAAGCGTGAAAGTAACACAATCAAAACTGACATAACAACTGTAATACAGGAAGGAAATATAATATACACGAATATATACAAAGGCGACAATTCGAATTTGCCCGTGAAATATTCTATTCGCGTAAACAAATTACTGCATAATTGTGTTAATAAATTACCTGAACATCGTGAACTTGTAACGGCATGACAAACGTTCTTCTTTATGTTAAATAGCCGAGGAACTACGAAAGAAAACAAAACTTTACAAGAATAAATATGTAATAGAGAACTATGAACTACATACATACATGTATACTCGACACAATGCTGGCAACCTAGAGCGATTAAATACTGTCGTGATCCTGTTTAGAGGGATTTTGATTTGCCCAAAATTATTCGTCGATGCAAATTATTGTTTCAAACAAAGAAATCAGTAATACACTAATTTACATTTCAATGAACTTTAACCTAAGATATTTTTCTCCGATTTTGAAGCGATTTGAAGTAGTATGTTATCTGTCATATACATAATAATTTCCAACGGTGCCAAAATAAATTCCTCTTTTTTTCTCTTTCTCTCGAAAAAAGGCATGCGATATTTTCGAAGCGTTGAGGATACTTTCATACGTAGAGATATCTCGCGGTCTGAACTTTTGAATGCTCATTTACGTATTGATCAATCGTGACAGGGAAACTCTGTCCTCTACTAGATTGGATCGAACATTTTCCAGGAAATGAAAAAACGAACGAAAAATTTCCAAAATGAAAAACGTATTCAATTCGTTTCGTGATAACCTTGATACTTTGATATTTCATACACATCCCAAAATCGACATACGTTCACTTCAAATATTCGTAGTTTGCGCATTACGAAGAACTTACGAAGAGAGCACGCAAATTTTAACTGACGTGCATTGCTTAAAATAATATTATTAACAATTAGTTAAAACAATTTATTTATATAATAAGCAACATTCTCTTCCATTTTACGGAATTGTAATCCCCCCTTCTCGCCGAAAGCAAAATGTTTACGCAACGCTAATCGCGCGAACGAAAAGTAACAATCGTCACGAAAGTGGTTAAACTCGTGCGATTCGCGCCTCTTTGAAAGAAATACGTACGCGCACGTTTCCCGATGGCCAATAAGTTTGGCAACGTAAAAGCACACGCTTCGAACGTGCCGAGTGTTTTCTAGGGAATGCAGAGGAGTGCGGTCGATACGATCGAATGGTAACGATTAACATGAAACGTAGCTAGGCTACCTGGTTCCAGAAACGCGTGATGTCCGTCTAGCAGTCGTGTCCAATATGGCGTGTACACTGTGCGAATTGTATTAACGTGCAGGTAAGACTCGGTTGAATTTTTTTTCCCTTAGCTCACGTCGCCCGGACAAACGTGTAAACCGAGACATCGCGATCTTCGTCCTTCGAAATATTTTGCGTGTTATCGTTCGCGTGACGATCGAACAGCTATCGGTGGAGTTGTTTCCCTAAAATATGTGAATCTCGTCAACCTTTGCACCCTCAAGGTCTGTTCGCTCGAAATGCATTTATGATGACAGATGTGTGTGGAAAACGTGTATCCTCGGTCGAGCCGAAGCGATTTCGCGTGAAGCGAAACGATCCCGAAAGAAAGGGAAAACGGAATCGACTAGTTCTTTTTTTTTTAACGAGAACTCGGCGCGTGATAACATTCGCCGTCTGGCAGCTGCCAGTTGGATCCTCTGAAAGTAAAAACACCTCCGAATCAGAAGAATCGGAGCAAAAGTTATCAGTGAATGAATCGTGGCACGTCGACGAGGTTCCCATCGTTGGTCGCATCGGCTGTGAAATGTTGACATTTTCCAATAAAACTTGGACTGCTGTTTCGTCGCAACGCGTGACAGATATTTTGACATATTGGCAAACGTGTTGTGAAAATGGAGCAGATGCGACGAAACTTTGTTTTCGAAACGTTCAGGGATACGACCTTACGCATTTTTTTTGTAACGAGAGCTACGTAAAATAGATAGATGTTAAAAAGTATACAAAGTAAATGTAAGAAATATATATAAATAATATAAAATTAAGCGTAGCACTGTATCAAAACAAGTGTCTTCAGCTGATTGATAAGTTAATCATTTTACAGAACGTTTTCTTTTTATTATCAGCGTCAATTTTGTTTTTTTATTTTTTTTTAAAAAAAATGAAGTTTAAAATAATTCAAAGTATATCGAATATTATATTATCCATGAATGAATAAGCAAAGTAATAAAGATTAAAAAAAAAAGTATAATTGTTTTTTGTCTCTACAGGTACTGTTCCTGCCTCTGGTGTGACTGTCTTTTGTGAATAAAGGAGGATAAATACTGTAAATTTGTAATAAAACAATGTACAATGAACTACGGTGGGAATATGCCAGATTGGCATCAGTATAACACCTCACAGACAAATGAAGTTACACCTTCCACGCAAAATGTTAATTCTGGTCACCTTGCATACATTCCTGGTGTCAGTCCATCGACACTGAATGCCATTAGCCTTAATTCAGAGGGTTTGAACAAACATCAGAACAATGCTAATTACAATCCAAGAAATTATCAATCTTTCAACAATGTATCAAGTAACTCAGCCATACCGAATAACAGTCCCCTTGCATCTATGGTGCAAATGCAGAATTGCATTGGCCATTATGGCTCTCCAAATACAAGGAATCCTATGTTGGATAATATAAATACTTCTGTGGATCCTAGGAACACCACGATCGGAACTGTAAATGATGATATAGGATATAGAAGCAATCAGGGGCCTTTCAATGGACCTATTGGTCATCTAAATGGACCAAACTGCAATTTGAATGTATCAACTGGACCTAGAACTGGACCTGGGCCTGTTCATGGATCTAGAACTAATTCCGGACCAGGACTGGGAACCAATCCTAATAATGCAACTGGCCCTGGCCCTATGTACGGACCTAATTCTAGACATGGACCTGCATCGGTATCTGGTTCAGGTTCTGGACCTGGAAATATGGGGCCAAGAAGCACTAATGTCGGTCCACTACCTTCTGGGAAACCTGGACCATCTTCTTCGTGCATTCCTTGTAAAGGAATGTGTTGCAATTCAGATTCAAACATTAATTATCAACAATGGGAGAAATTTGGATCCTATCAGAACAATGGTTCATACAGAGATAATGTGCACCCATCGAATTATCAAATTGAAAATAGACATTTTGGAAATAACTGTAATTTTAGGAAAGATAATTTAGATGGTAAAGAAGTAATGGGTCCTGTAATACCCAATGCATCCACCATAGATCATAGAAGAAACTTTGCAGATTACAAGTATCATAAAGATCATTTAGTGCATAGAAACTACTCAACATCTTCAGGAATTTTTCACAATTACTCCATGCAAGGTTACAATTATTCTGCAGAACACCAGAAGTATCCTTATCCTGTGAAAGAACACACAAAAACGAACAACATGAACGTGCAGAATTCAGGCATGCTTAAGCATCAAGAACAAAATTTCATAGCCCAGCAAAAGTTTAATAATAAACAATTCCAATATCAAAACGGGAACATGATACCCAAAGGGATTTCTACTTTAAATGTAAACGCCAATATGGCGTCGTCTTCTCAAAATCCATACTTTAATTCGCAATACCCGAGGAACATTTCCACAGAAATTTCTCACGAATGTCAAGAAACCACCGATAATACTTCAATGGTGAATAGAATGCAAGGCTTTGCACACAATTCTCCTTCACAGCATCAAGTGTATCAACAGAAAATAGCAATGCAAAAATTTTCAATAGAAAATCACCTTCGAGAACTGGGCAGGATACCTGGTTATCAATCACATCCCAAATACAAAGAATGTATTCTCAGATACAGAGAAATATTAAAATTACAACAATCTTCTGGCTACCAAAGTTCAGTTCAACAAATTCCGCGTGTAGCAACACCGGCAAATACCTCAATGCCGCCTATTAATTTGCAGTTTGACCAAAATGGTATGTTAATAAATTCCAGTTATCTACCAGATAACTTTTCTAAGTTACAGCACGTGTCAGCTGTAGAACAAACACCAGAAAATATGGACAGGCAAAATAAAGACCAGGATATTGTCATGGCTAACGAAAAATGCCAGCAGTCGCAGCAGTCAGAGCAATTAATGATTCCTCAACAAAATGAACATGTTCCTTCCTCTTGTGCAGAGACATTTCAAAAGCAGAGTCAGTTCTCTATACACAAGGACTATAATCAAAATCAACCGAAAGTACAAACAAGCGAGAGTCACAGCTTTAATATTTTAAGTACTAATAGTAGCAACGAAGCGATGATGCAACAGAAAGCCTCGAAAGAGTTTGCCAATAAACCGGATCTAGACGTAAGACAATTTCTGGCTAATTGGGATGAAACTGACGACGAAGAGGGAACGACGAACCTACCGGACACGATTCTGAGTGAAACAACTCCAGTTGTTGTGGTAAGCTATGAAAATATAGATCTTTCGTCAAAAACACAGCAAGGCACAGAGGTTCCAAGAAAAAATAGTTTCTGCTCGGACGAAACTTTAGAAAGTGGTAAAGATGGCGAAACGAATATAATAACAGCCCAAGATTGCTTGACAATATCGTATTCTGCGTCTGACAGTTCTGAGATTCCTAAAACTTCTGAAAGGACGATCGGAGAAGGTGTGGTAAAACCTGGAAGTATCATACACTGCATCAGCAATGGCCCTGACGAAATACCCACGATTCACATAGTGGACAATTTAGAAATAAGTAATATTTTAGGAACACCTAATGATCAAGTTATACAGACTTTGGAGAAGCAAAAGGCAATACCATTTTTCAGAGAATCGAGCAACAGTGAAACGATGGCTCTCGAAAATACAGAACAACAGGACAAGGACAATGTTCATGTATTGTCTGCTAATTACACCACATCTTTGGATAATGTGGATAAGGATACAAGTATAGAAGATTCCAATATTTCTGAAACAGCTACAATTTCAATGAACAATCAGGAATTAAGAGTTTTGTCAACTTCACAAAAAGATAATCTGGGCGTTGGTGATAATATAGTGGAATTGAAGAAACAGCATAGTTTTGAAGAATCTCATAATCCTGATGATATTAGTTTACCAGATTTACCAGAATGTACACCAATATCTACTACACTAAACACTCCTATTCATTCAGACACTGAAGAATCTTCACAGAACATGGAAGAAGACTTATCGATATCCACAAATCCGATAGAAGTGATGCAAAACAGTCCAGTAATCAGTTTTACACAGCTGAACAGTGAGAATAAAGTAAAAAACATGTCTCTCGGTACTATAGAGTTGGAATTTCAAAAGGAGAATCGTTATAAGAATAATGAGACCAGTAGTGAACATATACAGGAGGTAGACAATTTCGAGTTGTCTGGCAACTTGAAGGCAAAATCGAGTGAAGCGATTAAAAATAAACAACTGAAAAGTCTTGGGATCAATGCTGTAAGAAAAAAGGTGTGTTTGATAGATGGCAAGGAGAATGATACCAAAATTCCTGATACTTGTACTGTTTTAACATCCATGGAGTATGAGCTGGATATTCGGCAAAAAGTTGTTGATAGGGAGAAGAATTCAGATCGTGATTCTTCTGATTATACACATAATAAAGAACAGAAAAGCATTAGTAGATCGACGGAAGCGATAAAACACAGAGTACAAAGAAGTGAGTCTGATGATAACATCAGTTCTAACCCGAATTTAAGCCCAACGGTGTCTGATAATGAGTCACAAGCTTCAAAAAGCGACAAAGAAATGTTTAGAAGGAGAAAGATAAAGACTTCAACTGTATCTACAAACACCAACTGTCTGATACCCTCTGAACTTGATCAAAATATTAGGAAAAGAGCAAAAGAAGCAACAACCTGGGAAGATAAGTGCATAAACAAATACGTAGATAGAAATTTAAGTCAGAAAAGAGATGCTGATCATTTGAAACAATCAAAAGTTTCTGACACGAGAAAGTTCGATGATTCGAGCTCATCCCAAGGCGGAGAGCACTCTGTGTGCCATATGATTTCTCAATATAAACACTATTCTGCTGCTGTGATAAAGGATAACGTTATATTAAGTGATAAAAGAACGCACAGCATCACAGATAGGATCATGAATGAAAAATCACCCGAGTTCCCAAGTAAGATGAACAATACAAATACCAAAGATCTTCCTAAAGAGGCAGAAATTAGAAAACAGGCAACTAGCAAGGCAATGTCGACGTTGCACGAAAGTATTCAGTCTCAGACTTCTAGGTTGTTGCAAAAAGATTTGAAAGGTGTCGATGGAGACGTTAGATACACTGCAGAGGAAATGCGTTTGCTGAAAGAGTACAGAAAGAAGAAAGAAAAGTTGTATCAGGCTTATAATACGCACGACGACAATAAGAATGAGAAAACAAAATCTAAGAGCCACAAGTTAGGGGACAAGATATGCTTGGAGCAAAACTCTATCTCTTCAATAGTTAGCCGAAATTCAGAAAATTTGGTGACGCAGGAAGAAGCAAAAAGCCACTCGTGCTCGAAAAGTTTAATAAAAAATACCGACTTCGGTATTCAAGTTGCCAATGTAAACTTAAAAATTAAAGACAATGATATTGGCAAGGAGTTAATTCTGGGAGACAAGAACCAGGAACACGCAAAAGATCCTCTGGAAGGAATTAAAATCGAAATCAATGTATCGTGCACAGACAGAAACGTGAAAGGGCAGGAGCAAAATAAACGATTACTGTACGATGATCGTAGCCTGTACGAGATCGACGATTCACTGTCTTACTCAAATGCATTGGACAGTCAACGTAAATCAGACGCCAAGGAACAATCCAACAACTCGAAGCTACCCGAAAGAGCTCACAAAAATGTGTTTGAAAAATCCGATGCGATGATTGATGTTATCGAAACGAATCAGGGTAAAAGAGAGGCGGAGAAGAATTTGAGAATAACATTCAAAAAAGATAGGAGAACTTCGTCAGAGGTAAACGAGGAAATGAACTCCATCGTCCCTAAAGAAGCATGTAGTTTAATTTCAGAAAGTCAGTCTTTCAGCAAGACCTCGCGCAGCAACATATTCTGCAAAGATATGTCGAAGACCGAAGTGATTAAGGATACTAATTACGCCATCGATCAGCTGGATGTAATTAAATCGAAAAGTGCAATATCAAATACTGCCACAGTCGACGCAAATAATAAAGTTAAAGGGAAGAATAAACTTGAGGACGATAAGGAAGATAATCGTGCGCGTGAAGATGAGGATCGAGTGGCAAGGATGCGAAAGCAAAGTTCCACGAGCTTCATGAACGTTTCAGGTGTAATAGAAAAGGAGATAGCGAGTGTGCCTCATTCGAAAGCTTCTGTAAAACTGCCAGAAAGCAACTTTACTGAACTAAGAAAAAAATTGTTGACTAATCTGAATAATTTGGACTTCAAGTTTGGCAAGTATTCCGAATTAGATTTAGATCGTGATTGTCGTGTGGTTGAGGAATTAGACGAAGAAGAAAGTTACACGGGTAAATGGAAGAAGCCAAAGATAGATGACATTTTAGAAGACTGCGATATGTTCCAAAGTAGCAGCGGCTATGTAAATCCGATATTCTCAAGCATAGATAAGCTGGAGAATCCGCACACAGTTCCTGTATACACTACCAAAGACGGAAAGATATCCTATAGCCCTAATCGAAGATTCACCTATCATGAACTAATGATGGAGGCTCGTAGGCGAGAGTCTTATTCCTCTGTAAAGAAGTCTCATTACGCGGATACTTGGAACAGCTATTACAGCTCGAAATTCCGCAAAATGAACAAGAGAAAACGACATCATGATCTTAGCGACAAGAAGAAGTACGAATACAAGAATACCAAGTGTCTTTACGATAGGAAAAAAAATTATTCTGATGAATTTTATGGAAAAAATCATGTTAAATATAAAGATTATATACACAGTATTAGAAATGATAATGCCATTTGGTCTGATCATTATAAAATGGATAAAATGTATAGTAGCAGTGATTCTGATGATCAGATTATAGATCGTAGCAAATATCGCACTACCGAGGTAAATAATAGTAAGAAAGATCCGACTATAGAAAATAAAGGCATAACTATCTCTAAATTACAGAAAGATGATATTTTTATCAATGAATTAGACCTAGAATCTAAGAGCAAAGAAAATGAAGCTGATGATTCTTTGAATAAAGACAAAAGTATGGATTTAGAGGAAACACAGATGATTCAGTTTCAAATCCTTGATATGGAAGAAAATAATGAAAATGTTAATTGTAAAAATGCTAATAATAATTGTGTAGATAATTATACATCTAGTGGACAGTCGGATATTCCATCAACATCTTTGCAATTGAGTCAAGAAAAACAAACTGTGGAATATAGTGTAAATGAATCTTCGATGTTAAATGAGTCAGAAATCACGTCGGAAAATGTTCAAAGAGTTGAAGGTAAGAATTCGAGTAATGAATGTAGTACCGATCAAACTATTGATAAAGTTGAAACTCTTGAAAGTGAAGAGAAAAATGTAGTTACAAAGATTGAATTGCTCAATAAAGCATCTTTATTGGATGAGCAAGTTAGTTTATGTGATCTTGAAAAGAAAAAAGATGATGAAAAAATTATTTCAGGGGCAGTTATTAAAGAGCAAGAAGCAGATACTGAAGAACAGAAAAAAGAAATTGACATAAATGTATCTAATAGTCAAACTTTTCTAGAACCCGAAAATAATTTTGAAAATGTAGAAGATACAGAAAGTAATAATAAATCAGAAATTAATCAAGTTGGCATTGTTGGCATATTAGAGTTTGAAAATGACATAACAAAAAAGGTTTTAGATCCTCAAACAGATTCTGATAATATATTTGACCAAGTTTCGCAAGAATCTTTGGACTTAGAAAGACCAGTGGATGCATTTAATGAAATTGTTGAAGAATCTGAAGAGAATATTATTGAAGAAAATATTTTAGAGTGTGAAGAAGAAATTGTGCAATTTAGTGAAGAAGTTGAAATTTCAAATGAAGAAGCTGTAAACAAAGTAGAAGAAGAAGATAATGAGTATTTAGAGAATTCAAATAATAATTTGTCGAGAGACACTTTTGCAATGAATCAAGAGGTATCTGAGTCTCGGGCAATATTAACAGAGGAAACAATTAATCAAGAAGATAATTCAAAACACATTTCTGTTGAGCTTATTCATCATCAAGATAATATTGATACAAACTCTGACCAAATAAATAATGCAATTACCGAAGAAAAAAATCTTAATGATTTTTCAAAAACTGAAATTTATCCTGAAAATGAAAATGTTACGGACATTATATCAAACAAAAATGAAATAGAAATTATTCTATCAAACATAGAAGAAATTTCAGTGAAACAAGTAATAACTGATAATTTAAAAGATGAAGGTGAACCAAATGATTTGCCGACTGTCCTTGAACATGAAACAAAGTTCAATCAAGAATCTTTTGAAGATAAAGAAATGCATATTCTCAATACATGTTGCTCCATTAAAAACTCTCCAGTTACAGATGTCGAAAGTTGTAAAGATAAAACTAAAGTGGATGAACAGAAAGAAGAGCAAATTCCTCTTGAACAAGTTACTTGCAAAAGTTTGGCTCATTGTTCAGATAGCAATATCGACATGAAAGCAATACCTAAACTGATTATAAAGAAAACTGATACACCAAATTCAAAATCGGCCTGCTCATTGGATTACACAGAAACTTCTGAAAACTGGGATAAATACGATGCAAAATTATTTTCTGAATTACATCCAAAAATACCAAAAGTGATTATCACTAAGAACAGATCACGTTCAGCAACTCCAGTTGAAATTTTCCAGAAGACTAAATCTGATAAAACGCAATCTTTTCTTCCAGAACAGAACGATGAAAGCATGGATGTGGATAATAGTGATTTTGAATCATATACTTTAAAGTACAATAATTGTGAGAATAAAGTACCTAAGGTGAGGATAAAGTTAGAGGATATATCATCTAAGGATTTAAAAGTGTACTTGAAACGCAAAGCTACTAAGAGGAGCATTCCAAAGGTGAGAATCAAAAAACTTAAAACGCAAGAAAGTAAGCGAATTGAAACGAAGGACAGTTCAGAAACAGAAGACACCGATTCTGATGAAGATAAGAATTTACACGAATTAATGTCCAGTGATACAGAAATTGAAAGAACACCGAAATCAAAATTAAAAAGACAAGAAGACAGATCTTGGTCACCTGAAAAAAATAAAGGGAAAAATTCTAATATTTCTAAAGTCTTTCCAAAAAAGACTAAAAGAACAAAAGAAGAGGATTCAAAATGCACTGCCAAGTATGATACGGCAATTAGTGATGAATTAAAGAAGAAGTTTCCCCAGTGTATCATCGAAAAGATTCCCAAGGTTATAATAAAAAGAACTCAAATTGGTGCAGAATTTAAGTGTGAAATCAGCAAAAGTAAAAAGACTTCGATCATTGAAACAGCCAAATGGCAACCAAAAGTAAAATTACAAAGATTAGATGTTCTGGATAATATGGTGAAAGATCTAAAGCAATCAAAAATCACATTAAGCGATAAATTTGATTTTTCTGCAAGAATGAAAAATATTAACAATGAGGATACAATTGATAATAGTAAGGTAAAATTATCGAGATCTAATTCGGTGTCTAATTTGTCTCCTACTAAATACAAACGAAGAAGATTTTCAGACTCTAGTTACATGAAAGTTAACACAAAGTCAAACATTGAATTCAAGAGTAATTTAGATGGTAATGTAGCTATTTTTAAATCAGATGATAGTGAAAGTAAAATTATTAGGAAAAAAGAGAACAGAAAAATATCCTCTGAGAGTGAGCAACTATATCATAGTCAGAATAATGAAAGCGAAAGAGAAATGGAAGAAATTATAACGAAACATTCCTTTCGAAATATTCTGACGAACGAAGACAACGATATGATGGTTGTGAAGGAAGAATACTTGTCTTTTGATACCAAGGAGAGCACACCTCTTATAGAAGACAAATTTTTAGATGCTGCCACCCGTTCGCATAATTATAACGATAATGATAGTTCGATAATTAAAGTCGATTCCTCAGATGAAAGTCAAACTACAATAGAAATTTTGCCAGCATCACCAAACAATAGCGATGATGAAGCTAAGAATTCTGAATTTGAGAGTATCAATAGAATGGATATGACAGACGCAATGCCAACTCAATTGGAATTAGAATTGGAACTTATTGACAATAATAACACATGTTCTGAGGTATTTATGTCGGACATAGATTATGCATCGCATTCTAAAAGCAAGTACAGTAATGAAGGATCAACTAAGACGTTCTTCAATGAATTTCAACGTTCTTCACAAAGTACCTTTGATCAAAATAAATATACCTTTTTAATGAAGAAGCAACATTTTGAACGAAACACAAATGATAATTTTTATTGTAATGACTTGTTAATTAAAGAGGTATTAGCTGCTAAAGAAACATTAAAAAAGTGTTTGACAAGATCTGAGACCGAAGATGTGGAAAGAACGTCACGACCTAAGACTGTAGCTGAAAAGAAACAAGGCTTAAGTTTCAGTTTTAAGGATCTTGGCAAATCCTCAGACAAATCTGAAGAAATATGTTTCACTAGTCAGAACAATAAAATGAAAATAAGTGATTCTCCTTGCGATATAGAGACGGAGGAGGTTGAAGAAAATTGTTTCAAGCAGCATGAAATTTATTCTGTGGACTGCCCTACAGTTTCTACGCATAGAAATAGCAATGTACCAGAGCCAACTACAATTTCTTTGAAGTCCTCTAAGACATCCATAAATAATTCTGATTTATCAAACAGACGCAATAGCAATGCAGAAAAATTGCTAGAGATCAAGTCTGTGAAAAAAACTAATAGTGACAGTCAGAAAAATAATGACAATTCAAACAACACAAAGGTGAAAGAAGACAATATGCCATTATTAGTGCCAGAGTTTGTTTTAAATTTTGATTCCAGCTCAGATAGAGATAGCTCTAGATCTCCGCCTGTTATAACAAATCAAGAAGAAGTTGAACATGTAGCAGAAAATACAAAATTGGTGGAAAATAAAGTGATAAGTCAAATTGAGAAGATAGAAGAGAATAAGAAACATTCCTATAATAATTGTGAAATGACTATTGCTGATATTATAACGCAATTAGCTTATCATGAAAAGGTAAAGATCACTATTTTTATTTGTCAAGATGAAATTAATTTTAATCGTTTGTTACAGGCAACAATAAAACATAAAAAATACTGCAATTTGTGTGAAAGATGGTTTCCTACAACTTCGCGACATCGTCGGCATTTAGCTGGATACCAGCATCGTTATATAGAATTAACACAGCGTAAAAGTATTCATGCGCTTTTTATTCTGTTTACTGGAAAACCTTGTCCAAGACTTTTGCCAGCAAACGTAATTCGCAATGACTGTTCCATAGGAGAATTGACGCCTCTGCAAATTGCTGTTCAGGTAGGATTATGCTTATATACTATTTCTTTATCATAAATTTCGAATTTCGAATTCCATGCATTTCATTTTATCAATTATACATTTTATAGGATGTTGCAAAATGCGTTGAATACATACAACAGAATCAAAAAACGAAAGAATGACAGTAACAAATTATTATAAGTTACATCGGTGCATAGACGCATTTCCTGTGATTACCTATATTGGAATGTGGTGTAATGTGAGTATCTTTAAAAAATGTACTATAATGATAAACACAAAATGAATTCTATAATTCTTTTATTCTCAATGGAATTGTACTTTAGTATGATTACCATTGAAATTAATCATTATACTGTATATTATTATGAATATTAATATATATATACATATATAAAGGCAATGAAATTAACATCTATGAACTTTGCAAAAAACAAGCTTTGTTGATTGATGTTAATTGTTAAAAGTTACTTGAAAGAAAAGAAATTACTTTAAGTGGTTAAATATTTAGCCAAAGATCGTAAAAAAAAAATATATATAAATATATATGTTAGATTATTTATAGTTTTTGAAGACTATGCAGTCTTTTATTTGTACAAATGAAGATATGAATAATATCGTAAATGAATGTGCTCGTTATAAATTTTTATTTATATCGTGAAAAGACTTATATATACAATGTATAAATACACACACACACACACACGCATATATATATATATATATATTTATTCTTGTTTAAAAAAAAATATGGACCTTTGCAATGTTACACAGACCTAAATCTATATATAGTTATATTTATATAAAATTATATATTTGAAACAAATATTTAGCCAAAGGAAAAAAATGATTATACATGTTACAAGATAAAATGAACTATGAAATGTTAGAATGTCTGTAATTTATACGATAGGAATTAATGGACGATAAACAATGTAATTTTCAAAACAGATAGAATAGACAGAGAAAATGTGTAAATTTTTCAAAAATATGATTATACCAATTACTGTGATTTTAGATCAAATTTCTCTATTCTAATTACGTTTAATAAGTATAAATTAATTCTTTATAATTGAAATTCTTAAAAAAAATATGATTTGTTTAATTGAAATAAATAGCAACATCTCATAGTTCAATAAAAAATCTATACATAATATAAATAATGTTCACTCTCCTGTCATGTGTTTGATTCAAACTGTCTAGGTGTGCCTAATAAGTTATTGTTTATACAAATAACAAATTTTTAATTGTTTTAAATGTTATAAATGTTTCTCTTATTATTCTATTGATCTATTATTCTATTGATATTGGGAGTAGGAAAGATCCTTAATGAACAAGTTCCTGATTATAAAGCAGAATGGAATAAATATATTTCTTGTTAAGAGGCTAAAAAACAGCTCCTATGCTACTACAGGGTTAACAGACTATATCTACGATTGTTTTATAATTTTTGTTTTCCTACTTTACATTCCAAAGAATAAAAATACAATGAAAGTCATTTTATTAAAAAATCTAGTTTAATCATTAAATGCAACCAAATAAAAGAAATATAGAATATATTTATATATATATAAATCTATCGATTGTTATTCCACTTAATGTTTTATTTCTCATCAATTTGTTTTAACTATTTCATATTTTATTTGCACGAGTGCCTTAAAATACACCTAACAGTATTTGTCGTATCGTGTTATACAAGATTAAATGAAGCTATATATTTGTAATATTCTTGTATAATATATGCATAATATATGCTGCAATTATGAGAACATTAAAAGAAATATACCATTGCATAATAACTATTATATAAATAATTTTTTTATAAATATGTACATCATGTTTGTTTTATAACTTTTACTGTAATTTTAATAAAAAAAATTATCTAAAGAGTTGCATCTCTTAAAATAAGAGATCAATATATAATTAGAGAGAGATTATAATATAATCGCAGACAAAATGTAAAATAAGCTTTTATATAGTGGTATAAATTAAAAAAATATGTTCTCATGATTGAAGTTGTTATGCAAATATTTTATATCATTGTGTGTTCTATGTGCCTAAATTTTAAGAAATTTATTATATGCATCTAAAGTTCAAATATGCATAATATTACTTATATACATTTAATATAATACAAATATGCATCACTTGTACATTGTATGAAGAAAACAGGTTTAAAAGTTTTTATAAAAAATTGTATCAGTTTGACTTGTATGCTGTGCTTTATAGAAATTGTTTTGAATGTTTAATTGTGGCTATAAGATATCTAAACAAATTACGTACATCAAAAATATCAATTTACATCATATGATATTAGAATTCATTAGATTTGAATATTATAGTTTCTTCATCTAAATTTAATTATTTTGTTATATAAATTAAAGAACGAGGATATTCTTAAGGAATAGAATTACATATGCTTCATTTAGATGAGCTATGGTTTTTTTTTTTTTAGAAAAATTCTATTGTTGACTTCCAATAATGTAAATTATTATAAGAATGCACTGATTTCAAAATTTTCATTTAAAAGAAAAAATTCTATTATTATATTAAGTCATAAAAAAATTGTTTCATTTTTTTAATATAGATTATTTAGTTTAAAAATTAAAGATTTTTATGTACACAAAAGTTAAGAATCAATTTGTAAATTAAATTAATTATAGAGGTGGGTCCATACAAACATTTATGAATTAATGAAAAATATTTTCATAAGTCAATATTATATATATATATATACCCATCTACTTATGATTCATAATTTTTTTATACATTTAATCGCATATAATGACACAATTCAAATGGGCAGATCTGTATAGAAAGATAAGTGCAATTGTATATTTTTACAAAGTTTACAACTGATAATTCCATAAAAAAATATTAATTTTTAAAATGATTGTTAGCTGTGCAATTCTAAATCAGATAAATCATTTATACAGTTCTGCTAATTTTATACACAATGTGTGATTAATATAGAATAATTGTTTGGGATACATTACAATTAGTTCTAAGTGTGTTTTAGATTTGTAGCACTTTTTTCAATTTTAAAATCTTAAAAAAATGATGATTTAATATTTCCAAAAATTTGAATAAAAGTTTAAATGAAATTTACTAAAATGTCTTAGACATTACATGAATAAATTTCGGAATATTTTGAAAAGTACTACAAAGATGTTACATATCTAAACACTAAAAACATTCCATAGTTAGGTTAAAAAGTTTAATTAATAGAAATAAGAATTGTACGAAACAATAGATTATTTTCTGTTATTGTACTTAGGCTACAGAAATGTATGCAAAATTCTAGTTGACATTAAAGAAACAATAAACAATAAAAATTACCATGTATGTACTGTGTCTGTCTTTTAATCATACATATATATATAACTTCTTTAACTTCTTTTTACTCCTATATATCCCTGTTTTTTCACTGACGCAACTATAGTATAGTTATAGAAATTATAATGAAATATTTATAAGTTTACACTATACAATTAACACTTGAAAATTATTCAAAAATGCGTACATTAAATATGCACAGCAGGAATATTTATTTTCACTGCGTTATTAGTTGCATAATTGTTGTCAAATATAAATATATAAATAAATAATAAATATAATATAAATACGAATAAGTAAATTCAGCAAAATTTACATATCTTTATATTTAACTTATTGAATTCATTTATTTTATGAACATTCCAGCTATTTATTGTAGAATTGAATATAATTGTTACACACAGTTTGAAGCATAATTCCAAATTTCGTTTAAAAAATATTAATATAGTTTACATTATTTCGCTTGAACTTTTAATTTTTATTAGAAATTTTTTTAATATTTTTGTTACATATTTAATTTTACCGTCATCCTCGGACAGTTGACTAATTTAATCAGATAACATATAAAGTTATTGATCAAATTCGAAAGGTGGACAGGCATGCGCGTTTTTCTTGTAAATGGCAAGAGGATGATGTTTTACAAAAATTTGCAAGTGCTTTTCCATTTTTTTACGGTCTTGTTATACGTGTACGGTGAAACGTCAATGAGGAAAAATGAAAAACGCATTAGCCTCAGAAACAATTATCAGATGTGCCTCGACGCTTTTAAGATTCACGAAGATAAAATTATTCGAACGCAGGAGTCCCTAGACATGGGTGCTAAGTATTTAAAGGAATTTGATGTTAATTCTAGAGAAGAATGTTTGAAATTTTGCTGTGATACAGAAAGTTGTGACGTGTTTATTTTCGAAGAAAAGGTACAGATAATTTAATATGAAATAAATAAATGACTAATTATTAAAAATGATTATATTTTGTCTTAACAAATAAATCTTTTATATTCCACTAATGATAAAATAAATTAATATCACACAGAAGCCTGGAAGTTGTTACCTTTTTCAATGTGGCCCATTGCATGACTTCAAATGTAAATTCACAAGTCATGCTAATTATAGTAGTGCAGTACGTAGTAACTACAATACACATAGCAATTCACAATTGGAGAAGGAAAGTAGGATTTCTCAACAAGAGCATGAATTGAAATCTCTTAGGTATGTAATTATTATTTTGCTATTCATACTGTTTGGATAATAAAACGATATATTCTTTATGTGTAGAAAATTGGTGGACCCAGCACCAGTAGAATATTCTTTCACAGAATCTCCTATGAAATTAATTGCAACATTGGCACCAAAATTACCATTAACAACCTCTTCACCTATTAAACAAGGTATGTGCAAATTTAAGTTTAGATTTATGATTTGATAAAGCAAAAGAATAATAATGTACATGTTTAGTTTGCACTAGGAATCAGTATGAATGTCGTTCATCAGGAGATTGTATAGCAGTATATAATGTATGTGATGGTATACCACAATGTGCTGATGGATCTGATGAAGCAGCAGATGCATGTCCTACAGAAAAACCAACAATTTTCCCTTCTGTGATTCAAGGAGCTCAACCACCTCTATCACCATATCAACAGATGATTGATCGACATAAATCCTATGCTCCACTGTATCCTCATATTCCAGAAATTAATTCTTGGAAACTGCCTAGTTTAGCTCAGCAAATGATTCCACCTCACCTCCTATATCCAGCTCGGCAAATGGAAGGTGCTCCAGGGTATCAATGGGATTATCAACCCATGTATGATCAAAATAAAGGCATTTATAATTCTTATCGCGAGCAGGGCAATTTAAATCCTTCTGAACGTGAGTAGTATAGTAGTATAGTTAAAAACGTTTGTTTCATGAATGAAATGAAAGTATTTCAATTGTTTCATTATTTTCAGAAGATCAGCTACATATTTTTAATCATAAGGGACCTAGTGTAATAGGGGAAAAAGAATCTGATGGGTAAGACATCAAATTGTGATTTTTAAGAAAGATATCAAGTGAGTATATTTAAAATATTAAGTAATTATATTTAATCTCAAATTATTTCAAATTATGCAGTGGTACATATTTAGATGTAAAACATCCATATACATCGTATTTTCTATCATCGAACAGAGGCCTATGGCCTAACAACCAATTTTATCCATCTCCATCTCCATCTCCAATATCGAACGTACAACAAAAACAAATAATTGAAACAGAAAAGAATGTTATTACAACAACACCTCCTTGTGATGTAAGTAATCTCCTATAATTTTCAATTTCATCGTGATATTAGCATTGCATTACTTTCTCAGACTTCACATGAACAAAAAGATGTTCCATTAAAAAGTCAAGAAATTGGAAAAGTCGGTCAGCAAAGGGACGAACGTACACACGAAAAAGAAATTAGTCAGAATAATGAGCAAAATGTACTAAAAAATGAAACTCTGAAATTTAATCATGTTCAAGCAAAGGAAACAAAAGGTATGCTATTAATGAATATTATTTTTAGTTCAAAGTTTTATTATAATTAATTTAAATATATTCATTTCAGAACATAAAAGTGTGATAGTTATAAAACATCATAGCAGAGAGCACGGAAGAAATACCATAATTGCGGAGCATTTGAAACAAGCAAATGAAAATGAAGTTTTAAAGCCCAGAGGAGCTGTCATATCGCTGGCTTTAGGACTTACAATAACAGCTATTACAGCTACATTAATTGCTTGCCGATTGCGAGTTGTCCAAAGACGCGGAAGACGGCACGGACCGTATGCTCATGATGCAGATTATTTAGTAAATGGAATGTATCTTTAAGTAAGTATACAAATTTCTTTAGTCAAACGAATCTAGTCATATTTTCATACTATTGTAAATGACAACGTAATAAAAACTATTTTGTCTTAGTTGTTTTATTTTTAAACTAATTGAAAAATGAACATGTTTTGAGACATTCGTATTTGCTTTGTATCTATAAAATTTGTTTTATCATTTTATGTGTGATAGATATTATGTAAAAACAATCGTACTGAATTTGCGAATGTGCTGTAAAATTTATTTGTTTTCATGATGAGTATTAAAGCGTTTCGTAAAATAAATTTTTGTTCGAGTAATTTATATTTATCAGATCATTGTAGAATATCTAATTCGTATTCGATCATCTAACTTATAAAATAATATTTGGTTTTTGAAAAATATTGACAATACAAAAAGAGATTAAAAATTTTTGAATAGAATGAGTTCTAAGATAAAGCGCAATACGAAAATTTACTTTGAAAAGATTTTAATAGATTTAACGTTGCAAGCGAACGCAATAATTCTAATTCATGCAATTCTTGTTTAAGAAGAGAGAGAACTACCAGCTTATAACAAAATTATATTTATATATCACTTTTACAACCATACAATACAAAGGTATATATGATTCTTGATAATAGAATCATTGTTTTCAAGATTATAGTAATTAACTATTCCAAGAAAAATTGTTACTATGTCGTTTTTATACCTTAACGAAGAAGCTAAATATCAAAGTATTTCTTCAAAGTATTTCTAAAAAAGAATTATTCTTATTTCATACGAACATACGTTTCTAGACAAAGAATACATGTAGCACGTACATTTCCAATTAGACTAATCTATACTATTGGATACAGTGGAAATATATAAAAATTGTTACATCATTACAATTGTGTTGTATATAAAACATTTTCTGTACTTAATTTTTTTTCTAAATAGTATGTTACTATTGATTTAACCAAACCCAACAACTTGTATAAAATATTAACAAAATAATGGAAGCATTTAAATGCTTTTTATTAACATTTCTCCTATGTAACTATTTTCAATAATACTAAAACATTAAGTTAGCTAGAACTTTAAAAAAGTTTATTTATCAAAGGAATAGTCTTTAAAATTTTTTTATATTTTATAGATAACTGAACTCTTAATATAATTTTCACCTAAATAAATAATTATATTTTATTTAAAAAATCAAGTATTTGTTTAAATTATACGTAACGCTTTTCTCCAATATTATCAATTGCATATCGAAAGAATTATTTCATTTTATTACATTTTTGTCAAAATCTGTATATATTTATTTTAAAAAATCGTATCTTGTTTTTTATTTGAAAAAATATTAACAAAATGAAAATAATTTTAATTATACGCAAAGTAGTGCCATTATTGCAATACTAATAAATAAAAATTATTATGATCAATGGAACTGTACTTATGTTCAAATGAAATAAAAGTACCACTTAATAATATTGAACATTGTATTGTGTGCAACTACTGTCTGCCGGTAGCTGCTGCATTTTGTTGTGCTTGTATGAATTCAGGATAATCAATATATCCATCACTATTAATATCATCCAAAGAAAGTATTGGATCTATTAAAGTAACCAACTCCTCATCCCTAAATAATTTCTGTCCAGGATTGGTTCCACCTATCTCTTTGTTGTTTTCTTGTTCTAAATACAAATAATTTGTTACATTCTTCATACCAATTAATAATTAAATTTAATAATTAATTTATTAATACATACCATGCCAATGAATTAAAGATTTTATGAGCTCAGAACCATCTAGTTTGTTATTATTGTCTGCATCATGCATTTTAAAATAATGGAACTGTAATTCTTGCTCTGTCATTTTAGTAGTATCTATTGGAACTTCCATGTGCTCTGCAATATGACTGCAAAAAGTTTTTTAATAACTATAAACTTTAAGTGAATAATATTGATAATTTTAGATCTCTGTATAACATACGCTTTTTCATGAACTATATTGGCAGCATTAAGTATTGGTTGTGAATGTTCATGTCCATGTCCTCCTTGTTGGTGAATTGGTACTTGATGAGTTGGCATATGTTGCTGTACAGGTACTTGTTGAACTGGAATTTGCTGGATTGGTACTTGTCCTGGTACTTGCTGGAACTTCATATAAATTTTGATTATCATAACAGAATTATTTTATAAAAAATTTGGATTTGTTTCAAACATGCATGACATAATACAAATATAACATAATACATTGTGTTGTGAATTATATTTATTAATGATTGATGATTAAAAACTAAGAGATACTAGATCTCTGATATTTTTATGTAAATCTACCTGTGGTTGTGGAATTTGCTGATGTACTTGTTGAACAGGCTGAAACAAATGAAATATAAACTATCTGTGAATGAAACAGTAATTAAAAGTAATACTTCCATACAATGTATGACTATTGTTACAATTTCCTAATAATAACAAAATGATAGACAGAAACCTATAATGAAATTTTAATGTAGCAACCATATGTTTGATTGTTTTAAGAGGAACATTTACTTGTTGATAATGTTGGGGTGATACACCTGGTGGAATTCTTTGTTGTTGAGCGTGTATATATTTACAAGCAAAAGATCCGAATATAAAAAGCCACAAAGTCCAAATCATATTGCAATATTCTGTAACAAATACATATGTTTAATTACATACTTGATGCACACCACGGAAATAATACGCACGTATTATTATTATATTTGACACTATTGATTTAATCTCTTAACTACGAAAATGACAAGAAACAAAGAAATACCTTATTTATGTTATTCAATATATACAAAAATTGACATGTACGCAAGTGTCTTGTTCATTGGCGAGATTGTGTACCGGAATACGAATTTCAAGGTTATGTTAGAAAAGTCACAGACTGACGTGGACAGGTATGTTACTTTCTGCCATATTTGTAAACTAAAGTATGATAGATTAAGGAGATAATCGTTAGTAAATATTTTCTATTATAGTTTACGCTAATTTGAAATAAACATCATAACACAAAAATAAATGGAGTTTTAATTTTTAATTCTACGATATCTTAATTTGTGATAAAATTATGGATTAAGATATGAATTATAAACTTTATTTGAAATTTTAGATTTTTTTCTTTTTACGCAATTTTTTCTTTTTTAGAAAAAAGTACAAAAAAATATAACAAAAGATATCGCTTGACTCTAATTTTTAAAAAACTAATCAAATAGTAATGTAGAAATCATTCGCAGCCATGGCTCGTATAGCACTTCAAACTGTAACTTCGAAACTTACTGGCCAATCCACATTAAATATTGGATATGCACATATGAATCTAAATTTATTTTATTTTACGTAGGTATTACTTTGGAACAGCGACAAAAAAAAGTATGTTTTTCATACTTGGGTACTGAACTTCTGAGGAATATTCGAATATCTACAAATGGGCATTAAAACATTTTTTATTCATGCGTGCTAAACACTACATTTCGATAAATATGAGCGTTGATCATTCGAATGTGTAATAAAATTGAAATAAACTTTTGTAACATATGCATATTTTATTGTAATTCAAACTTTAGAATGAACAATGTTCCATTTCCAGTCAGTGAATTTATCCCGCCGTTGTGAGGTTCGTACTTTCACAATGGCGGAGAAGTATTACACTACTCAGTATCAAATTTGTGATGTGATTTTAATATTTTAAACAATTCTGGAATAATTCATTGTTGTGTCAAGCTGAAAAGAATTCGTATGATTAAAAAACTATCCGCAAATTGAGTAGTTTAAAAAGGTTTAATCGTCTTAGCGGGTATGTATCAAAATTATACGATTTCGTTAATTTTAGCACTAATTTTTGTTTTATACGATTTCAGAATTCAAAAATTTATTCTCCTATACTTTTTTAATTTGTCTCATGTTATTACTTGTATTAAAATAAATATGTTAGCATATAAAATATTGCGTGTTTAATAACCCATAATTTGAGATACATTTTTGATATCTTCATTTTACTCCAAGTACTTTTTTTTTTTTATATTTTCTGTATGTTCAATTTTAAACAATTAAAAAAGTACACGTCCTGATGTTTTTTTATACTTTTATGTAAATAAATAAACTAAACTATATGTATGATAATTTCATGACGTATTGTTTCTCTCAGTTGTCATTACTTTTTTGTGAGTTTTGTATTTTTTCGGTATTTCTTTCATATTTTAGAAACTCAAATAATAAATGGAAAATGCCTCAGATACTAAGACGAAAAAAAGCTAAAAGATCACAAAAGAGGGTATTAGTTAAAAGAAGACATTTTTTAACAAGTTTTCATGAAACTAAATCTTACAAACCATGTGAGTTTTGTGAAAAGTATATGTTTGCAATATGTGTAAGTATATATTTTTAATATATTTAGAATTAATAATACAATTTTATTGTTACAGTATGTAAACAGTTACAAAATAATAACAACTTATTGGCAAAAGCACTATCTAAAGAGAGACATGAAAGTCAACTATTATTTTCTCAGAATGTTGCTTTAATTGCTGAAGTGCAGGATTTAGGTTTGGCCTGTAATAAACGTGATGTAAGCAAACACAAAGATGTTTCGTCAACTTATTAAAATTAAATTTATAAAAATATATTTTTTCAGGCTATTATATCAAATGTTTTAAAGAATGCTAAAGAAATGCTTAAAATGTTAGTAACAATGAGTGGTTACTTGACAAATACAATTGCATCATGTCAAGAATTTGCAGAATCTGTTACTACAAACATGCAGATGACCTATAACTCTAATGGACGTAAGTTTCTTAATATATTATTTTTTATATTATATAAATTTAAAGATAGGTATGTGGAAAAGAAAATTCTTTCAGAAAAGGAATCATTGAAAAGACTGTCAATAAAATCTCCAACTAGAGGAGTAGTGAAACCTATGGTGAGCGGTTACACCATTACAAAACCCACCATTAATTTAAGTAGATTAAATATGCAACATATTAATAATTCATCAAACTTAAGTATAATACCAGAAATAAGAACACCCCCTAGAAATCAAGAATTGGACAATTCGATTTCTCCTAATGGTGTCTCTGTAAGACGTACGTGTGTAAGTATTTTGTAAAAAAGTTTTAGATAAAATAAAAGTTTTTGATAAAATTTGTTTGAAAAATTATATTAACGTTCTAACGAATTAAATACTGCAGAAAAATGGTCGCACATACAGAATGCCTGAAAGATTAACTGCTACTTCACCAAGAGATAGTGGTATGTTCTTTTAATATCTCACAGCATATTTCTTACAAATTGATTATGATTTCGAAGTTGATATTAGTTATTCATACTCATTTCTAGATGAAAGTGAAAGAAGATTCAGTGAGAGGAATAATAGGCATTCTACTGGAAAAATGTCAGGAAGAATGTCAGGGAAGCTTTCAAAATCAAAGTCAAGATTGTCGAGAAATAGTAACTCTAGTAACTCAAGTAACTCTAGTATTGAAAATTTCGAATATATAGGAAGTCCTAGAGTAAAACTTAATGATGTATCGAAATTATTGCAAAATTCTCATACTATTAATATTCGAACGGTTTGTATCATCAGTAAACATTTTCTTTTCACATGATGTTAATTTTCATGTTAATTAATTATTACTTTTTATAGTTAACTGAGAATCAGAATAATCAAGAGGTCGATGGTTCGAAATGTAATAATGTAGTAAACTCTGAGGATTCTCAGGCAGAAATTATACCAACAACATCACCTTCCAATGATTCCATAGATAGTAATGATAAAACGACCGAGAGCAAAAATGAACAGAGTAATAATGAATTGAATACTACGAATGAACATTGTTCGTCAAATTGGGAAGATCCTCTTGAAGGACCAAGTTGGTTATTTAATAATTCCCAAGTCGTGCCTTCCTTTAGAAGTAAAGACAAAAAGACTGATGATATGAATGTTTCTAATGGTGATAGTATGAGTTTGGTATTAACAGAAAAAGAATCAAATAATGTATTTGATAATGATAAAACTATGCAAGAAATGTCAAACACACATGCAAATCATGCGAATAACTTTGAGAATAGTGAACAAGTGAATAATGAAGATGAATCTAACGTGCATCAGCATAATGAGAACAACGAAATATGTAACGAAATTGTAGTGGCAGATACAAATGACAATGAATGCAAGAGTGCCCCTCTAAATTTCATTACACAAAGACGAGGCTGTTTCGAAAATGAGGATGAAGATGATTTTACATTGATATATACAAAGCAACCACGAAACATGCATTTCGATATAAATGATTTAAGGTTGCCAGTTCTAGAACAGTCTGCTTTGAAACCGACAACTCCAGCTGAACCAGAACCAGAAATAACGACTACCCTTCGAAAAATATCCGAAATTTGTCCAATACCGTCGGTTTCGCATAACTTGGTTCGTAACACTTTGGACGAATCTGCATTTAATCAGTCTACCGTGAAATTACCACTACTTCTGAATGATGATTGTGAGGATGTAGAGTCGACGTCAGTAAAAAAGAAATCGAAAATGTCGCAGCAAAAGAGCAAAAAGAAGAAGGAAACTGCAGCACAATCTAATGATGATTTTGTTGCTAATACACCACCGTTCAAGAAAAATAATTTGTACAAAAGAAAAAAGAATAAACCCGTGAAAGATCCAAGTACTGTCAAGGTAGTGTTGCAAAAGTTGAATGAATCTGATGTTAAATCTAGAACACCTTCTCCGAATGAAACAGTTTCTCACAATTCTAATCAGAATTTGTAAGTATGTTAACACGTGCTGATGCATTCAGTATATATAATAATAACTTAAGTTAACTTATATACAGAAGTGTTATATCTTCCCGTGCGGATAATTCAAGTGATTCAGAAAGTAGTACAAGTACCAATAGTTTGTTTGCTTGTAATCGACCAAGACGAAAACGTACTCCGGTTGCTTATCATGAGCCTAATTTGATAAAGTGAGTAGTTTATTCTAGTTTCACTTATATAAGTTGCTTACGTACTTTGTGAAATTATGCTGAGTTGTCATTGTTTCTTATATTTTAGGAAATTACGAAGGAATCAGTAATTATGTTACAACATTTGTCAATACTCGAGAAAGAATTAATAAAATACAGTAATGTATTTCTGAAACACTGATATTCCTTTTGATGTAAATAAGTTATTAGTGTGTATGAAAAATTTGGGACAGATCTTCTCGAAAAAGAAAAGAAACAAGGAAAACAGAAATTAAATTAATTTCATTAAACATTTAATAATTATAAAGCAAGTTTACATTTTGAACAGTTTTGCTTCCATTGTTGCGCACATTTTTATTGAACTAGCAATTGTTAATTATTTACAGGAAATCGGCTTGCTTTGACGTCGTCATAGCTTCGATGAGTTTGGCTTCCTCTCGTAGTATTGTTTGTATGTTGTACCATTTGTATTCTTAACTATGTTTCAATGAATAAACAAATATTTGAGAACATTACGTTTCTCTTTGTTTCATTAATTTGAATTTCAGTTCAAACAATTTTAATCTGAAGTTAGCAATAGGCGATAAACGAACAAACTTCTCTATCGATTCATCGTTCCTAATCGATTATCCTAAAATCAATGGAAGAATCGAAATAAGCCGTTAGTTGATCGCGAATGGCCGCAAAAGGAAGATGCGATGAAATTGTAAAAGGTAAATTAAATTCCTTGAATAATTGTATTCTTCTTTAAATTTTAAGTATTGATTTGTGTTAATGAAATATTTAAAATATAATATAAAATTTAATATATGAATAATAAATATGATATTTAGCAAATTATATTCTTGAATTTGTAAAACATATATACATACGTATGTGCGTACGCTACTGCAAAATTTTGTAATATTTCTAAATTCGTATGAAAATAGACGTAATGACAGATACTACTACTGATCTAATCGCATAATTATGAAAAAGAAATAAAAATGGTATGATTATGAGAGTAGATATTTAACGGTCGGTTGAACGATTTAAAAATCGATCGATCTTATTGCCAATGTTCAAAGAGGTCGCATCGGTGCATAAATAAAAATGTTAGGACTTGAGTAAGAAGTATAATGGATTTAACCTTTCCTAACCTAGGCTGACACGACCTATAGAAATGACCAGTGTAAAGGCGGAAATTATTTATGTTTGTTTAATTTCTAAATGAAAAAAAACAACTGATATTACCTCGTCTCTCTCTATATAGTAGATGTTACTGATTTTATTGGGTAATTTGCTGACTTGAATGAAATCAATTAGTGAAGACAGAACGATCGTGAATTCCGAGCTTCCTTTAGAAGATACACAAAATATATTTTTTAACAAATCAAAAAGGCTTAAAAGTAAATCAATAATTTCTTAAAATTTGAAACAGCATATTGCAGTTTTTATGTATATATGTTATATTGATATAATAGATGATGATAAATAAAGATATACAGCTATAAAAACTGTGATAATTCGCTGTAACATAATTGTCGCTAACATAATTGATCTGCAACCTGGTAGCAATTGCGGAGCGTGGGCGTACATACGCGGAACTTTCTGTTGCTAAAAGTCTAAACTTGAGGTCGATGCTTAATTTGCATAGCCGACATAGGCATAAAACTGTTTTGTAGTTTCGTGCTACCAAAAAGTGCTAAGAAAAATAATTATATATTCGCACGATAACGTGATTTTTTTATTGCGTGACTAAATAAAATAAATAAAATAAAATAATTGTGTTACACAACGTGACAATAATTTATATTTTATTGTTACGTTTATTATTTCTATAAATAAATTATTTAAGGTTAAGAAATATTTTTTTCTATATTTAATTGTTTTATTTTTTCATTTCCAGTCGAGTTTTTAATTGACGAAAAAAGTTATTCGAGTGATATGATGAGACTCTGTGGGCATAAACATTTTACTTGCTCTGATTCTCGGTCAGACAATAAACAGACAAGAGTTGTTCTTGCAGTTTCGTAAACAAACGGTCAGGAAAAGTCTACCTCTGGTAAGTTGTTTTACAACAGTAGTTTTTAACAATAAGTAAGAAAGTACTGTATATCCAATGTATCATCATATCGTTCAATTTGTAATCCTATTTGAGAAAACCAATGCCAACATAATGCGTTGTCTGTATGTTATTTTACAAAAATTATAATATCCACGTTCGACAATCATATACATATTTAGGAAAGGAAGTGTTCAAACATCGAACTTGAATTGCGAAATTCCAATGAATTAACACTAATTAAGATCGCAGAACATACTCCTCAATATGCGGATAATCAATCATAAGCAGTGTATGTAAGATAGTACGAAACAATTGCGAGTGGTATATCGACTTGTAGCTCGCTTGATACGAGATTATGCAACGGATGGTTACCATTAACGCGTTTCCATGTAAGTATAATTATGCGCAGCCGGTACATCAAAACGTAGAACAACAAGGTTACCGATTTTCTCATAAACGTCCAATGGTCTTTTATAAAATTTGTCTGCTTTCATTCTAAATGAAAGCTCGTCGTTTGAAAAACAAGGAGGCATTATTAAATCTTCAATGTAATTCTTGGATGTTTTCGAAGACGCGCTGTTTTCGGAGACAGACTGATCTCGCAACACGCGCAGCGAAAACGTATAAACACCTACTCGTAGAATAGGAGTGGAATAGCAAAGTTGAAAGAAAAAAAAAAAAAAAAAAGAAAAAGCAAAGAAACGGAGAAACGAATCTCGCGAAGGCACGAAAGAAAGTGGAGTCGAAAAAAGGAGAAAAAGTAAAAAAAAATAAAAAAATAAAAAAAATAAAAAAATAAAAGAAAATAAAAAATAAAAAAAAACGCGAACCTAACTGTGATCGGTGTTGCCGTGGCCGTCGATCGCGTACCCGCGGCTCCATCGACTCGCTGCGATTGTCTTCGATCCAATCACGGTCGCCGCTCGGTTGAAAATGTGCCAGCCAGTCCCAAGCCACAGCCAGGACACATTTGTTTACATTTATATGAATACCGCGTATGTATGAATGTATGTATGTATGTATGTGCGCGTGTGCGTGTGCGTGTGTGTGTATGTATGTGTGTATGTATGTACATTATTATAAATAGGCATAAAACACGGGGAACCGCGACGAGATCTAGGGAGCTCAGCCGATAAGCGTAGATTCAAACGAGAACCAAATCAGTTCCTTCTCTCGCGCGCTCGCGAAACTCGACGGCCCGAGAGAGAAAGAGAGAGAGAGAGAGAGAGAGAGAATGGTTGCCGATTGCCATTTTTGATGAAAGGGGGAAGAAGGAGGAGGGAATTTGTCGTAACAAGCGAATCGAGATCGGTGATTTTCTTTTTCTTCTTTTTTTTTTTTTCCTTTCATTTCGTTCTCTATGCCTTTCTTTGACAAGTTGAACATGTTTAGAAATGCGAAACGAAACGAGGAGAATGGAGGAGAAGGAAGCTCGTCGTAGCAAGCGACACGAGATCAGTGAATTATTTCGACGAAGGCGATTCTTATTATTCGTCTGTCTGACGTCTTCGCGTGAGCGCGAGTTTACGACTCGAAAATTTGGAAACACATAGAACGAAACGAAAACGAGAAGAATGAAGAATCGATCGTCGTTCGAAGAAGAAAGGAGAAAGAAGGAAAAGAAAGTTTATTGTAAAAAAAAAAGTGACTCAAATGAGGAAAAATCTTCTCCGCCTTGTTAACACGAACTTCGTTCCCCTTTCTCCTCTCGCAGCTTAGAAACTGAGAGATACAGGCTGAAGCGAGAACATGAAGAGTGGACGACGCGATTCTCTCTGTTCCCCCTTTCTGCGTTTCGATCGTTGTAAAAAAAAAAAAAAAAAAAAAAAAAAACGGAGAGAGAAGGGAAACGAAGCTTCCGATAAGTAGAAGATCGAAATCGGTGATTTTTCGAAATGAAAAGAAAGAAAATATATAGAACCGTGCTTTGTCCTCGTTTTGTACGCCCGCGTTGCTCCAATCCTGTCACACGAACTTCGTTTCCCTTCGTTTCTCCTTGCGAGATGATCCCGAGACTTTTGGAAAACGCGAAACGAGAGACGATCGAGAGAGAGAAAGACGCGAGAGCCACTGGTCTCGGTCTGAGTTCAGCGCGATTCATCGACACTCACCGATCATTTGTCACGCCGATCATTCGAAACGACACGCAACAACGACGACGATGATGTCGTTGCGATTATTCGGGGATTTGCGATTATTCGGGGATAATCAAGAGAGAGAAGATAAAAATGAGAAAAAGGAAAGAAAAGAAGAAAACGCCGCATCTCGTGCATCTATCGACCATTGTATATATATATATATCTCTGTACGTACAAAAGGTACACACGCGTCGAGCATATGTATGTATATCACGTACTCACATACTCGCGCGAGAAAAGGCCGCAATCGCGATGCGAAATGGCACGTCGAATGATAATTACCGAGCCGATGGAGATAGCTACGTCCTCTGTGAATCTGTCTTTTTTTTTTTCTCTCTGTTTTTTTTTTTTTTTTTTTTTGCCGTTCATTTTGCTAAAAATAAATAATCGACGATCGACAGACTTTCGAATTTCCCTGATTTTTCTACCGTGCGAACGAGAACGGGACGTACAGTTATCTCTCGGGAGGTGATTTCGGTATTTATTATTCGAAACGCTGCTCAGCTCTCTGATAGACTAGCCGTTGAATCGATCCACATCGACACACACAAACAAACACACACACACACACACACACACACACACACACACACACACACACACATAGGCGTAAACCTGGTTTTAGATATTATTACGATACCTATTAATGAAATATTGCTGGTTCAAGCAGAACGTATCGTCTGCACAAAAGAAAAAAAAAAAAAGTAAAAAGGAGGGAAATCCAAGGATACACGATAAAAATAAAATAAAATAAAATAAAATAAAATAAAATAAAATAAAATAAAATATATATATATATCGTATATTTATATATACATACATATATATATATATTTATACATATGTATATATATAAATATATACGATGAAAAGTAAGAGATAAGGGAGAAAGAAAAAAAATGAAAATAAAAATAAAAAATAAAGCCGCGCGGTATGCTCAAAACGTAGAGGAAAGTTTTATCTCTGTACATGCGCTTAAGAGAATCCTTACCTAGAAAATTATATTACAGACTATTGCGATGTTTAAATTGAACGCGTGAGAAGAAAGAAATGAACGGCGAGGGGGGGCAAGGGGGAGGGGAGAGAGAGAAAAGAGTAATTTAGAAAAAAAAAAAAATAGAAAAGAAGAGATGCGTTGCGAATGAAAATTGCGACGTTCGATGCGAACAAATCACGACTCGTCATGTTTTTTTTTCTTTTCTTTTCTTTCCTTTTTTTTCTTTTTTTTTTTTTTCCTTTTTAAGATTAAGTCACTAACGAAGACGAGAATACACGCGAGGCGAGGGCTGGGTCCGGGGATGTTCGATCAGGATCGCGTTCGCGTTGGCAC